GTTATTCGTTAAATTAAGAGAAAAAGGATTTACCCGAGTGCACTACCTAATTAAATTAAAACGATAGACCAGTACCTAGATTACAGACAACAAAAATGTTGGTCGAGAAAAAAAAAAGTAATAGAGACAATCCGTTAGTAGAAGCTATGAAATGCATGAAGAAATGGGAAAACGGTGTTACGACACAAGGCAAAGATCGAAGATTAAATATACATATACGTACGACTGTAAAGAACAAAAAAATTATGGAGAATACTAAAACGTGTAAAAGTGTAAAAGTGTAAAAATTACAAATATCTAACGTGTTCGTTAAAATTGATTTCTTTTTTTTTTCTTTTACTCTCCCTGTTGGTAGTGTCTTAAAAGTAACGAAGAATTAAATCTACGAGCTGTCTGTGGTTTTCAATACTTAAATCTTAACGTACAATTAGTATCTCTCTCTCTCATTCTCTCTCTCTCTCTTCGAAATAAAAAGTATTTCAGTCCTATATGAGTCAACAATAAATAATTCGCGAGTGAAATCAATCAAGCACGATACCGCTCAAAGATTCGTTAAAAAAAAAAGGGAAAAAAGCAAAGAAAATTATTGTGTAATGAACGAGTTGGGTGTTTCATCCCGAAAGAGAATAAAACGTATCGATCTAAAAATATAAATACAAGTCTTGAAGATTCTAAGAATAAACGAACTTAAGACAGGGAGGAAAAGAAAAAGCAAATGAAAAGAAAAAAGGAAAGAGGATAAAAGACAGTAACAACCCTGAGAGCAAGTCGTGATTCGCGATACGTGTCGTATCACGAATACGACAGGTAGTAACAACGGCTAGAATCAAAGTATTTTTTCCCTATTTGCTACGTATTACGTTAATTAGATGCATTATCTCTGTATTGAAAAATACTAATAATATTACGTTAAATATAAATATATTATTTGTTTTATAATTATTTATCGTCAATTATTCAAATAGTCCCGCTAGTTCCCGCTTTCTTGTCATCTCATTTTCGGTTTATCTCAAATCCTTTTCTATCGATCTCGTATCTCGAATTACTTATACTCTTCCGTACCCTAAAATATATGTATATACAAGTGCGGCAAGGCAGCCATTTTTTCTACTTTGTTATCATTTTCACCGTATTTTTCTATTATCTCTTTCTCTCTCTCTCTTTCTTTGCCACTCTAGAATTAAGTTAATCATCCCTCTGAGACTCGTTTAATTATAATTATATAAATTAATTTACCTCGCTTACCGATTGCCAACAAACACATTAATCACCGATAAACGTCTCTAATAAATGAAATGTTATATAACCACTTTCTCCCAACAACGTTCTTCGCATACACTTAAAAATTCGTTAAATTTATACGCTTTAACTTTATTTAAAAATCGATAAATAGTAAGGAATACAATACAGTTATTAGTAATAATTATAATCATAAATCGATATACTAGTGGTTCTTGTTTCACGTTTCTTTATTATATTACTTTTTTCTTTTTTATAAAATAACTTCTGAAAATCAGCTGTAGAGATAAAACTTTTTTATTTTTCCTCTCTCTTTGTTAAATTTGTCCACTCTCGCGTTCTCTCTCTCTCTCTCTCTCTCTCTCACTTTCTCTGTCGCATTCTCTCACACTCTCTCTCGTATCTTTCTCTCCCTCTCTTTCTCTCAAGTAGGTATTAAATAACGTGTATTATTTAGAACAACCACCATAAAGTAATCGCTTTGTTTTCTTTTATCTATTTAAGCTTCTTATTAATTTACTATTTACTTGGATGTTCAAACAACTTGTGGCCTCTGTGTGTTTCTTTCTTTTGTTTTTTTATTTAAAGTAAGTTCACTTCTCGATGCGCGTAAAAGTGTACGTGTTAAGTGTGTTTATCTGTTATGTGTATGTCCCGTGTAATTATTATAACAATTAGTGTAAAAACAGTTTCGTTTGATTGAGCTCCCTACTACTCGGCTTTTCTTGTCTTTAGTTATTTTTCTTTTTTCATTTTTTTTTTTCGTTTGTTAGTCAGTAATTGTGTTATTGCGTTGATCCCAGAAGTTTCCACGAGTCGCGTTTGTTAATGCTTTCTCTTCATCCCATTGACTTTAACGTATCCCTGGTTCTACGATACTATATGATACTGTTAACAATAGTTTCAACAAGACAAAAATGTGCCGAATCGAGACGCGAAACGGCAACGAACGTCTGATGGACGCGTAAGGATAAGTACAGATGTAAAAGGAAAAAGATATCTCGAATGATCGAAAAAACGACAAGAAATACAACGATACGTTCGATCGAAGGTTAACATCGCGAAGAAAAGGATCTCTCGTTACGAATCGACAAGAAAAATGAATAGATGCTGTGAAAGTAAGAGAAAAAAAAATTATTACCGAAATGAACTAAACTCGTACTTGAGATCATATCGAGGGGAAGCTTACACAAATTGATTGATCGATTATTAATTGTAACCTACGAATTATATACGTGTAACCTCGTACAAAAATTTAAAATTACATTTAGCGTAATACTTGCGATTCTTATTGACAAAGTAAGACACAACGCGACCCGCTCAGTAATAAACATGAGCATTTGAGAGCATTCTTCCGAAATATTCATTGTTTAGAACTATGGTAAATCCTACAGAGTAAATACAATTAAGTCATATATATTTAATCAGGTAGACTTTTCAGATCAGCGGCCCCCCGCCGAGAACACCGTACAAATTATACAAATACCCCTCCCTCCAACCTTTAGATACCATGATCTCTCTCTCTTTCATCTCTAATATCTTCTAAAATTTAAACACTTATAAGCATCATCGTACAATATTTGTAATTATCATAGAGACAATAATAATATAGTGTAGTTTAGTGCAATCGTAATGGTTGCAGTAGGAGCAGTCGCAACAGTAAATAGTGGTAAATAGCCTGTAAATAGTTTTATAATGGTAATAGTAGTATAATAGTAATTAATTATCATAGAAGTAATATAATAATAATAATAGTAACAATAATTGGTAGCCTTAAACGTGTCTAATAATTAACTATTATAAATTCGAGGTAAAATATAAACTAGTTTCCATATTTGATGCAAATACAGCCCGTACAGAAACCTGTCTGACGGTCAAAAAGTTCATATGATACAATTTTTTTTCATTATTATTTTCTTTTCGTTAAAATTCATTATCGTTTCTTTCGTTTCCTTCTCGTCCTCTTCCCTCCAGAAATGATGAACCCTCGAATACAATGGAAACGGAAAAGGACCAGACAAATTAAATAAGAGTCAAAAAAAAAAAGAAAAATGAAAGAGAATACAGATAAACAAATTACAAATACAGATAAACGATACGTCTAAGTTACTATTAGTGATATGACGTGAAAAATAAACGTAAAAAATAGAATAGAAAAATATGAGAAGAGAACAGAAAACATGATCGAGGAAACTGCACCCTGCTGTCAAAGATTTATAGATATACATACATCGTATTTAAAATGATCTATTTATTTTACACTATCCTCTGTTAGGTTAGGTTATAAGTCAGCCTGTGTGAACACCTTACTTAATTATTTCATTAATTACTGGTTACTTTTTCATACTTTTTGTTATAATCTTCCTTCGGTTATCCAGCGTTTAACAACTATTTTTAATAAATACGAGATCGTGGAGGGACGGGTGTCTCGAATGTGCAAAGTCAATCGATGACCTTCCATCGGAGACCATAATATTAATATTTCATTTTATTTTAGGTATTCTTATTTTCAAATTACCGAAGTGTTCGCTAAAAATATCCAAGAGGTGAACGAGCATCGAAAATTTGTGCCATCCATTGAGAAGGAAAATTCTCAAAACAAGGGAAAAAAAGAAGGGGGGAAAAAAAAACAGAACAAACGAGTTCTCATTCACCTCTGCTTAAATGCTGTTATAAGTAATTAATGATCAGCATAATATCTTCCTTATATATTTCTTTACACTCGCTTCGTTTTTTATCTTTTGTTTCTGCTTGATTTCATTTATTCCATTCGGTCTAGTTTAACTCTTATAATACTTCTATGTTCCGCTTCCTACCCTCTATCCCAGTGCCATGTACAAAAATTCGCTTGCACCATGGGTGTTTTTATCCTGGCATCTATTCAGATGATTTTACTGTGTTTTATATTTTTTATAATCCGTTTGTTTTCCACGTTACTTCGAAACCAAACAAGATCATGAGCCGTCTGTTCGCAAGCGATCAATGAAATTGATATTGCATGGCAAACGCGAAATTAACCCTTCTTCGGATCGTGGAGGCCGTAAAGCTTACTTTAATTCGTGTGATTTTCTATCGTTTTGTAAAATTTCCAAAAAGTGCGAAGCCAATTCGTTCGTACTTACCGACTCGGTAAAATGTACTTAACGAAATGTTGACCCTGCGAAGCCAACTGTCCAAAGAAGAATTAAGATAATATTTTATAAAGTCGTCTATAATTTTCATTCGATTATTGTATCATAATAGATCTGTAGCATCGGTCACCAGTGACCACTCAAGACATTCAAAATATTTAAAAAAAAGGTAATAATAAAAATCGAAAACCAAAGTACAATCGCTCACGAACGATGCAAACTGGCACGCTCGAGACATTCCTTGCCAAATGAAAAATCTCAGATCCAATAGTTTGATCGAATGTATAATCAATAATAAATTGTTAAAAAAAAAATTCGGTAAAAAAGTCTCGGACTAATAGAGCACCAAAATATCCTAAAAACGAAGTGTTATTTCCCGCGTAAACAGATCCAAAGAATGTCCGAAACTCGAGCACCAGAATCACGATCGATACACCACGCGTGTTGTATGGTTTTTCTTGTTCTCGTCTGAATCTGAATATGTAATAAGAGAAAAAATGATAACCCACGAGCAAGGCCAAGCCATTCAGCGCATATCTCCGTCACGGGTCAATTAAAATGGTCATGAGGTGGGCCACTCTTTGAAATCAAAGCCTTGCTGGGGTTTAGGAGCGCTGGCGGCATACCCACCTTGGTTGCTTTCTCCTGCTTGATACGAACGTTGTGGGTAACTGGTGTCAGCATAATTACCATATGCGGAGCTATAGTTAGCGTAATCCGGAGTCTTGGCTGAACTGCTACTGGACCCAGGTGCACCTGAGCCGGTGGTCTGTCGCGAATACATGTCACCTGGAACATTGATTCCCATGGTGTTATGCAACTTCTCCACTTACCTCGTTTCGTTTATTAATGAAGCTGTGGCACTCTTGGCCTCAGAGCACATATATTTTTAATACTCGTGAAAACGATGCACTCATCGACACAATACTACCGACGAGCTATTTTGCGCCCTCCAATTTTCGCCGAAATATCGCTCCGTTTAATTGATATACAGACGATCGAACGTACATCAAACGTACATCGTAATCTTTTTAATCGTTCGGGTGTTAGTGTTATAACCGAAATAAAATCGAAGTTATAGAACAAAACGTGTACCGAGATCCTTACAATTCGACGTATTTTAAGCATCTCTTAAGCGTACAATTAAACAAGCGTCGAGGGTAAACGATTTCTGATTTAACGAGGAGAGCACATGACCATGAAGACTTTTAAATCTACCTCATTTTATACTGCAATGAGCATCTAACTTAATCCTTTGTGTCTATGATTCTAGGTCGTATGCTTTCCTCACAAGTATACCGAAGTGACTATCGCTGTATGATGAAAATTGTATAAATATTAAATAAATGTAATTGAAAAATGGATCAGAACTAATCGGAAGTTGCTTAAAGTAATCGAAGGTTCAATATCTAAATAACCATGAATTCGCCGCAAACTCTATTAGGTAGGCAATAAAGGAAGTGAAAGGATTGAGACTAGGATTGCACTATCATTACTGCGAATTGTTATTTAGAAGTCTTGGTACGAACATGAAACGCTGCTACGTATAGTCATAGGAACCAATTAACTACTTTTCGGGAGGTATTAAAATAACGACCAATTAAAGTAGAAAGAAAATACTTGTATTGGTTTACATAGTATAATGAATGATTAAATGCGAAAATGCGAATGATTACATCTTACTACGATATTTTTTAAGTATGTGTAACAGTGACAAAAATAATTCTAAGCGTATATTTACATACAAACTAGCATTACAATTATCGTATTCTAAATAAAATACATGCTCTCTGGTCGAATTTTCTATACATATAAAGAAAAATAAGTATTTGGCAAGCGACGTGTATTTCAAAATCCGCAGATGATAAAGCGAATTGAGAATCGTGCAGATACAAAAAGGAACAAGGGATTTTACGATGGGATCAAAATTTTATTCGACAAAAATATGTGTCTTCGTTTTCATTCCTCCAACTCCATAAATCAATTACATTAACACGTTGTTAACCCATTAATTCCCAGTGATCGAAAATACAACATAATCCTTTCTATTATAAACAGTTATACACGCAAGTGTATACACACTTATACAGTAGACTCTTGTTATATTGTCAACTGCAAGAATATTCTCACCCCCTTCGTAACAATATAACAAGAATTCAATGTACTAATTACTAAATAAGTACAACTAAACGACGAAACTTTGTAAAAAATACACGTACACAATTCTGGGTATTAATGGTAAAAACATACATTGTTAGATTCCCAAATTCTTACTGTTACAATATTTTGCAATGAAATGTTATTAACAAGCAATGTATCGCGCCGATTATAACAAAATACGATAAAAATACCTAAGGTGAGCGACAATGAGATCCCAAAAAAAATCGCAATAATATTTCATAAAAAAAAAATGAGATAAAAAAAATGAAAGAAATTTTAGGAAACATGACAAAAGCTAGGTGAAAATGGAATTGCACAATGTGAACTTATGGAAAGGGGAAAGAGTTCGTTTGATTGAGCTTGAAGGCTTACCCTGCGGGCCAGAGGGGTTCGAGTTGGAGTTGGGCTGCGAGGAGTTAGGCTGAGGAGGCTGAGGTGGTGGCTGGGTCCCAGGTGGGGGCCGGAACCAATTAACTACTTTTCGGGAGGTATTAAAATAACGACCAATTAAAGTAGAAAGAAAATACTTGTATTGGTTTACATAGTATAATGAATGATTAAATGCGAAAATGCGAATGATTACATCTTACTACGATATTTTTTAAGTATGTGTAACAGTGACAAAAATAATTCTAAGCGTATATTTACATACAAACTAGCATTACAATTATCGTATTCTAAATAAAATACATGCTCTCTGGTCGAATTTTCTATACATATAAAGAAAAATAAGTATTTGGCAAGCGACGTGTATTTCAAAATCCGCAGATGATAAAGCGAATTGAGAATCGTGCAGATACAAAAAGGAACAAGGGATTTTACGATGGGATCAAAATTTTATTCGACAAAAATATGTGTCTTCGTTTTCATTCCTCCAACTCCATAAATCAATTACATTAACACGTTGTTAACCCATTAATTCCCAGTGATCGAAAATACAACATAATCCTTTCTATTATAAACAGTTATACACGCAAGTGTATACACACTTATACAGTAGACTCTTGTTATATTGTCAACTGCAAGAATATTCTCACCCCCTTCGTAACAATATAACAAGAATTCAATGTACTAATTACTAAATAAGTACAACTAAACGACGAAACTTTGTAAAAAATACACGTACACAATTCTGGGTATTAATGGTAAAAACATACATTGTTAGATTCCCAAATTCTTACTGTTACAATATTTTGCAATGAAATGTTATTAACAAGCAATGTATCGCGCCGATTATAACAAAATACGATAAAAATACCTAAGGTGAGCGACAATGAGATCCCAAAAAAAATCGCAATAATATTTCATAAAAAAAAAATGAGATAAAAAAAATGAAAGAAATTTTAGGAAACATGACAAAAGCTAGGTGAAAATGGAATTGCACAATGTGAACTTATGGAAAGGGGAAAGAGTTCGTTTGATTGAGCTTGAAGGCTTACCCTGCGGGCCAGAGGGGTTCGAGTTGGAGTTGGGCTGCGAGGAGTTAGGCTGAGGAGGCTGAGGTGGTGGCTGGGTCCCAGGTGGGGGCCCGTTCTGTGGCATGTTCCAGGAGTTCCAGGAACCCCCGGGACCGCCCCCCGCAGCCCCGCCAGTACCCGCTGTGGGCCCATAGCCCCCTGAAGCGGCCGCCGCCGGCCCACCTGCGATCATCAACCACACAAAACACGTGTCACCGGCCACCATCTTCTGAAGCTTTTCCTTAACTTTGATCGACCACTACAGTGCCAATTGTACTCCGTAAAACGATCATATTTTAATTCAATTTTCAGAAACAAGAATGTACCATGAATGTACAATCGTGGATTCACAATGATCTTTCTATAAACGGAAAGATTTTAGCGATCGAGGTCAAGATAATTCAAATGTTAATGAGATATCTTAAAGATCTTTGGTCTTGGCACTGAAACGGTTCGATCTTACTCATGAAATGTTTTTAATGTTTCTTAAACACTGTGTACGCTCGAATGTCGCTCGACTTAAAACGTTTATGCTTGCTTCCTTGAACAGATAACACGAAATTATAACTCCGATAAAGGTAGATTTACGATGTGGAAACAATTAAGTTATTTATTTCGTATTGACGTACGATTTCGCTTTTTTTTCGTGAACTTTGCATTCTTCGGCTTTGCGCGAGAAAAATAAAAAGGAAGGATGATTGCACGAAAGACTGCGGAAAATCAAGCATAAACTTTGTAAATAAGATTATGGAATTCAATGTTTCGGAAATGTCTATATCGAAACAGTGTATTATATCGAACTTGACCGTATCAAAATTGAAAAATGAGTAGAACCATGTGTAATGAATTGAATAATAGAGTTGATAGAGTTTTGAAAACATTAATCTGAACTGACATAATTAGTTTCGATATACACTCGATATTTCTCATGATGTCCTATCGTATTCTCTTTCCAAAATAACAACCTCCAGGTGACACAAAAACATTGATAAATAACCATGTTCTATGTTTTACATTTCCGCCTAACAGTCTAAGGAGGATGGAATGGGAAAGGACAGGATCGAAAAGTTATTGTTAACTTTCGTGACCTTATCTTGAGATATCGAAGGAAAACCATAAATGCAATAATCATTCGCGTATGAGAATCATAGAAATGTTGAAACTACCGTGGAACAAATGTCCTTAGCTTTGATTTTATTAAAACAAGAATGATTCGAATTTGATTGGTTGAATTTAAGAAAACTTACCGTAACTTCCATAACCTTGAGTGGCTGCTGCAGGTTGGACATTGTAACTGTTACCCCATTGATGGTGTGGTGGTGGTGGAATTTGTTGTTGCTGAGGAGGAGCAGGAGGTGCACCCCAACCTTGAGAATTATACTGAGTAGTGTACCCAGCGTATCCACCGGTCTGAGGACTTGTACCCCAACCCTGATACTGTTGCATCATGTTTCCTGGTGGACCCATCGGGCCACCCATCATAGGTCCACCCATTTGTCCGTTTGGACCACCCATAGGTCCCATATTCCCAGCCATTCCCATTGGAGGTCCACCCTGTTGTGGTGGACCCCACTGACCTTGATGACTATCATTCATTTTGCTCGAAGAATCTCGTGGTTCTGCGCGTTTGATTTCAACCTGAAATCAGAAAAGCAAACATTGTCATTCCTCTCGATAATTCGAGCCAGTAAATATAGTCGTAACGACTTAATTTTTATGGAATTTGAACAATTCCATTGATAACATTAACAGATGTTCACCGTGTGTATATACGTATATATATATAAATATATATAGGTAAACTTTTGAAACTCGCCAAGTCTTACATAAATTCTAAATATATTCTAACTTGTAATTTTTAATATAACGCAGAATAATTAATAGTATTCTAAATGATTTTCTTTTAAATTGGCACTTACATAATAAAAACTAAACATACATTCGTTAAGAGTAACATAGCAATCGTGTAAAATAAAATAAGTACTATAACTAACACGAGCACGTAAAACTATGCGATATGTAATAATAAATTAATAATAACATCGTGTACTTATTATTATTTTACATTACAGTAAATCTATTAATGTGTATATACTAGTGTGTAGGATATGCTATACCTGTTTTCCGTTCAAGTTGACGAAATGCTCTGCTACACATCGGTCCACCGCATCTTCATCCTCGAAGCTGAGGAAGCCAAATCCTGCCGTCCAAAGGTGAGAGTATATCAAAACGTGCCCCACACATTTATAGAACAAATACATTTTTCCTTTTTTTCTTTAATATAACCCCAATATGACTAAACTTTTACCAATCCACCGTCAACGTTACAATTCGTTTTTATTATATTTTTATTTGTACATGTTCATTATTACATTGAGTAACTTTGTACTGTGTCGTTAACTATCGTTAATTTTAAAAAAATATACTTTTAAGTTACATGTAATTTTAGTACCAACTGAAGCATGCATCTTCAAAAGTTATTTAATTCCTACTGTACAAGAATTTATATACTAGCGTTGTTTTATACTAGTGTCTTGTATGCTCATAAACTTAAAATACTTAATCTAGAAAATTTATGATGGCTGATTTGAAGAAGCTGTCGAAGTACGATTTTATTCATTGCAGATAGTTATTTTGATATTAAAAACCATCGGATTAAAATAAAGGAAGATTATTAATTTCCCCTAAAAAAACGTTGTTAAATTATATTTGATATTTTCAACATGGCATATTTACTCACCCCAAATAATTATTATGAATCATATTCGATAAAATATACGCGTTAAATACACAGTTCGCGATATGTCATTTAAATGCTAATTATGCGAAATCATACATGGTATTAGACAAATAAGATGCATGAAAGACAAGACCGGATTTGAACTCATTAAATACACTAACTTCTTGAATGCAGCCACCAAAAATCAATAAATATGTAAAGTAGAAAGGCAACAATGCCTTTTTAGGTGAATATAGATATGTACTAAATATTTAACTATAAAGATACCAGTGTTTAAGCAAAAATTTTAGAATATTAACAAGCCACTGAAATTAATCATATCCTAATTTTAATGTTAAGAATGTAATAATTATAAAATGTATATTTAATTTTAAGAATAATTTTCTATACATATATGGTGATTAAAGATAAATATAACTAAATGAATTTATTATTCATTGGACAAATATATAATAAAAAATAGAATTTACAACGTATCTTATTAGTAGCTTAACTTTGACTTAAGTTATGTACATGTAACTTATGTACTTAACAACCTGACAAAGCCTTAAGCTATCCTTAATGAAACTTAGCCAAAATTCACACTATGTATAAATATATTTAATATAATTTAATATAACATAAAGTATCTTAACGTTTTTTTAAGGTAAGACAAGGCGAATTATTAAGAGTAGCAAAGTAGGATAAAAACACTACATAAATAACTATGTATAATACTATAAGTTTTTAATTTGTGGATAAAGCCTTAAAATATTTCGTAAATACATATTAAAAACAAACAATACCAATCAAAAAGATTGTGAATTAGGATGTATTAATTATAATTATTAAAGGAAGCAAGAGCAGGGTCATTAAAAAAAAAGGGTAATCAAGCAGAGGAAGTTCAATGACCATAAATTATTAACTGGCTTAAGTACAAAAATATTTTTAATTCTTCTATTAATTAGTTGCTAATTTTTTATACCTATATTGAATTTTTATTGTAATATTATTCATCGAAATTTTGATACTTTATTTTAAATAATGGGTGTGCTGCATTCAAGTCAGAATTTTTGATCGAGTACATACAAAACTTTATCAATGTGTACGTACAATGTTTTCTTTATATGTACCTAATCATGTTTATTATTTTCATTACATCGACTCTTTAACTATCACTGTACATTAAGCATAAAAAACATTTAACATCAGATGCCAAAAATACTTTACTCTGAATAAATATTTTATTCTTTCAAGAATTCTGACTATATCTTTGGTCACACAGTAAATGATAATAACCCAATTCAAATATTTATGAAGCATTGTTTTTCATAGTTTCTATTATAATTAAAGTATAATGGACTTTCTAATTAATTAATATTCTACATGTACGAAGAATACAATTTCATTATATAGAAACTATTTTCAACAATGCCAATGTACAAATGAACTAAATATTAGAATGTACTCACCTCTTGATTTCTTCTTTTCTTGGTCGTACATTATGACAACTTCCATAACCTTGCCATAGCGATTGAAGAAAGTCCTTAAGTCTGTCTCTGTCACGTTACTTGGTAATCCACCAAGGAAAACCTTTGGAAAGCCCCCGCTGCGTTTTGGCTTTTGTTGAGTGCGTGGATTACAGGGTTTCGGATCGATCTGTAACATTAAAATATTCAATATTACTGTAGCTTTATTGCGTTACTTATTTAGATCAAGTCGATGAGTTTTTTTTATGAAAGGTACTAACTGTGCGCCCATCAAGCTGATGTGGTCCATTTTGTAGAACCAAAGGGACATTAGCTGGATCACTAAATGTTACAAATCCAAATCCACGGCTACGGCCAGATTCACTATTTTTCATAACAACGCAGTCAATTACTTCGCCATAACGGCCAAAGTAGCGTTGTAGGTTTTCTTGTGTTGTCTCCCAGGACAAACCACCAACAAACAACTTTCTGCAATCACAAAATTAAAAAAAAAATTACATGCAACATAAACATATAGTACCTCGAGTGAAATTAATTATATAATGACATTTTGAAAATATATAGAAACCAAAAATTTTATAATATTTAACGAGATATGAAGTTACCTTAAAGAGTTCCTCTAACAGAAAAGTAAACAATTCATACTTATTACATAGTAAGGTATTTGAAATAACTTGTCAGTGTTTTAAATTTATTTATAATATCATATAAATAACATCTATAATATAAATACATGGCACAATACACTTCTTTTTATTAATAATAAATAAATACATCGATTAATACATAATGTTAGAAATGTCTACGAATATTCGCAGCAATTGCTCAAGCGTTCGAGAAAATTACGTAGCGAGGGAGTATTGAAATGCTCCGATCTTTCAGGATATAGAGCATAAAAATAGAGAATCTAGACCTAAAGGATGTAACGAGCGACGATGCAATAGCATACTTTCACACCAAAATAACACGCGTAAAAATTTATGAATTTTCATATCCTTTCCGTGTTTGCCAATTTTTTTCGGTACAGTAACATCTAAATAATGAAAAGAGCCGGATTGCGGGTACAGTAGAGGGACACTATGCAGAACCGGCATCGGTGAATTATTCCCCTCTCCGAAAAAAAACTATACATATCCAACCGCTTATTCCTCGGGGGAAGGAAGGTTGGCCTCATATAATGAGAAAATTCGTATATGATTACACGAGGCCGAATGACGTTTTACACACGAAGCCGAGCAATTTAAGCGAAGCTCAGATAAACCTTAAGGGGAAATCAGAAATACGTGGTGACTGCAATACGCAAATGGAGATCCCACGCAATAAATTCGACGGTCCGACGAACGCGTCGATCGAAGTTTCTCGCGTAAAAAGTTATCCCCGGCGATCGCTAATAAGCAATTTAGACTCACCCCTTTTCGTCGTCGTCCATTTCGGTCTTCACTCTCATAATATTTCACTTAAAACTACGAGAATGTTGTTAGTATTAGGGCGCGAATGGGAATATGGCACGATGCTTAGCGCGGACGAGGGTAATGGCTCCCCACAATGAACGCGATGTCGAGAACAGAATGTAAACGTAACGAAGCGACTCGCGTCACTTCCGTTCAACCGACTAGTCAAATCAGCAATCCTGTTCAGTCGTTCTTCAGGGACGCATGATGCAGAATGATGCGCCCTCTGCATCATGGCAGCGTTCCCATGACCCTGTACTTTATTTCCAACGAAAAATAAAAATCTGTATGCAATCGAACCCGCTTTTAGACAAGGAACAAACTTGTAATAAGCAAAAAGCGTTCAATTCGCTACTAATAGCACAATTTAATCTGCAGTCTATAAACGATGCATGTACGTTGATAATGCATCGCGAATGAGTCTTATATTGACACGATCCTGAAAGTGATATTATGCATGTTCAGCAAATCTAATGCGCTAGCAAATAATTAGCGAAACCATGGATAATAATTTTTTTAATCGAACTGAGCATGAATCAACAAGAAATATCATGGAATTAATATATTAATTGAATGCAGTAGTGTTTCTGGGTTCAACGATCTGTCGTCACATAGCTGGGACGCGCCATTTTGTTCTCGGATTGGCGGTAAATTTGAAAAGTGTACAATACACGCTTTAAAACGTGTCAATGAAAGTCTGTTTTATACGTATAAGAACAGAATATTTTGCATTATATTATGTAAAATAAATAAAGTGAAAGAAAATGTTATATTAAAAAAAAATATGGACATGGAATATTTTAATCATTGCATAATGCATAACACTGCATCGTGCAGAGTATCAGCGTTTATACTGCTAATAATTTCATGAGGCACTCGCGCAGAACGTGCAACCATTACCTACCTAATTTCATCCGTTATTTCTCTAAAATTTATTTAAAAACAAGTTGCTTAAACTGGAACTTCAATTTAAAAGTGATACTTGCTCAACATTGATGTTTTGAATAACACTAAAACTATCTTATGTTGTTAAACATATCGAACCAGACATTGCCGCATATTTTTCAGAGTATGCATTCAGATTATTCACGGCATATATAGAACATCCGTCTTATCTGATAAGATGCGATAATACAAAAATATCGTGGGCAGGTGATCGTTAAAAATCTGTTTGAAACATACGTCTAAATCTATTTACGTTTATATATTTTTTTAAATATCGCTCTTCCTGTAATTATAGAACGAATAAGTACGTTTTCACCAAAAAGCAAATAATCAGAAAGATTTTATCGAATGATGTAATACGTAATTCCCAGTATCTTATATACGGAGAAAAAGTATTTCTACAGAAATTTTTTCAAGCTTCCTTCCCGTTTGCTCATTTCTCTCCCACATGTTATTAGAGATCACTAACTTCCCGGAACATTATAAACCGTGCGAGTCGACGAAGGAATCGTAACAAAGGTTACCCGAACTGGGGTTATCACTCCCGTAAAATTCGAGGGATCGTTTCGTCTTTCTTTCCCTCCGTCTAACCACAGGATTTCCACGAGTAGCTAAAAATAAAATTATTTAACTCGACTAGCCTCAAGCCGACTTTCTTCCTTCGGCTGACTCATCCATCCAGTCGAATCAATTTTACCGCAAATTAACTGTACCGCGCATGGAAACAGTTTTCCTTTTCTCTTTTCATTACCCAGCTACTTACGAGAGATCGCGCCAAATTTCAATCGAGAGTCACTGGACCAAATCGCGATTTGTCGTTTAAAACACACCTACGTCGCTTCTTTGCATCTTAATCCGATCGTTCCGCTCGAACAAAAATCGACCCAGACGAATGAGAGATAATATGAAATTCACGAAGCGTAAAGGTAGTTTAATTCGCTTCTATTTCGACGGAAGTTCCTGCTTTACGAACGCGAGACTATAGCGTGTCAGCATCGACTGTTCTTACCGGTACTGTTCATTATTACCCCTTAAATCAGACGTAACGTAGCAGATTTTCTTTTTTACACATCTGGTTACACAACACGCTAACTAGATATACTTTCGCGTGCACACCTCGCTCGAGTAAACACGTGTACTCGACTACTCTTGTTTGGACAAACAGAAATTATCAATTTTGCTTTTATGATTATCGAAACGGCAGAGATACCCGGCATAATTAAGTAATTGGTAAAACACGATACAAGGTTCTCGACCGGAATCGAAATCTTACTCGTTGCTTATCTTCGATTAACCCGAGTAGTCTCGCAGCAAATCGATTTCTGCAGCGTGTTATTTTTCAAGGCGCACAGTTTGTTTCGGTAGATGAGCATATTTTTAGAGGATCGTAGTTTCTATACTTAGAGCGCGTGTACCTTCGAATGTGCTCCTAAAATTTCGTTTAATCGGAGTCTACATATCGGTGTTTGGTGGCCCCTTAAAAATAGAAGCTGAACTTCATTTCCGTCTAACAGTGCACGGATAATCGAACTGCAGCAGCCATGAATAATTTCACGCTTCGCTCAGTGTCATCCTCTTACCTTCTCAGAAAATAACATCCATTCCTCGAGATTCCAGACACCTTCAAAGAAACAACCAGCAGGAAGCTATTCAGGGAAGACCAGGTGGGTTCTTACGTAATTTTTCATCACCCTTTGACGGACACACGTGCAGCTGGAATCCTCGAGGAATCCATACGAGCAACCACGAGGACAGGGAGTAGAAAAGGTGGAATCGAAGGTTGTCGAGGTCAGGATCAAGCCTGCGTATCGGCTCGTTTGCATTATTAACGAAAAAGTTTCGCTGCTTCCGTTGAAAAATCTTGTTAGTATACCCCGGCTAACCGATCAGGCTGTTTGCCTGCTTCTAGCTGGCTGACTGCTTGGCCGACTGCTAGCCGGCACGGCACGCTTCTCGTCTCGTTCAGTCGCCGCTCCGACATCCTGCTCGCAACACGTCTGCGGCCGGTCCCCGCTGTGACCCGAACCTGTCCACGTTTCTCTCGACGTCTCTTCTCCGTTTACGATTTCTGTCATGCCGTGGCAGATGCGACCGAGCCGTAATACGACTTTTTTCGGCGCCAGTTAGACCCACGTGTACATCCTGCGCTGCTCCGAGTGAAGAAGTAAGTGTCGAACGAATACCGTGCACCTCCGAACACTTGTCCGCTTTTTCTTAACAGAGAATAGCAGAATTTTCCAACGGTGAATCGAGCGAGTAGTAAAAATCAAGTTCTTCTCGTGTAACAGTGAACGTGAGAAGATTTCGTGGATGGACCGAAGAGGAAACGATCGCGAAAACGAGTTAGCTCGTTGCTAGTGTTTCAGTGTAAATTCTATGGAGACGATGTAAGTGTAGAAAGGTCGAAAATTTGTTGAAAAGTGTGACCGTCGGTAATGAAATTGTTCAACCGTGAACGGTAATCGTTCCATGACCCGTAAGCCTTTCATTATTACCACGGTGTAACTCGAAAAGTCGATGACTCTTCGAGACTTCTACCGGTTGATTGAACAAGCCGCTTGTCGTCGATTCTAGTTACGATTACGACAAATCTGGCCGCCCAACGTGTCTTTGCTTCGATGATTCTGCTCATAATCGTGTCTCAATGGCTGTGGGAACAATTAGCTGCATACCTCGTAACAGCCTTCTAATGACTAGGGTCTGCGTCTTGTCAGCTCGCTCTCTCGAAAATACTATCGTTCGGAAGTTAATGCGAGTCGACAGTCACGAGAATCGAACCGCAAACATGCTTCTAGCCAAGTCGACCACTTTGTTCTGACTCACCTCGAAACACATGCAAATCTGTCACGAGTGTGAATGTAATTTCAATTTTAAGAGCGTCATATTGCCTCAATCTTGCCGTAACTCTTCAATGACAAATCGTTGAAACACGTAGATTATATTTGAGTTTCAGATCTCTTCGTTCTTTAGACCCTAAACTATTCCTCTATAAATTATTCTTCCATATATGGAAGTGTTTCGTTTAAAAATTTGAATAATTTGTAGTTAAAATTCTTTGATATGCGTTTCTAAGAGAATGACACTTAACGGTGAAACTCGATTTTCCTTATGCATTCGAGTTTTCGAAGAATTTCACTTCTCGAAACATGCTCGTCGATTCATCCTTATCTTCTTCACCATAATGAACTAGACATTCTCTACCATAGGAACTAGCGGAGATCTGGAGCTGACTTTCGGCTTAAACCGGTTCTCCCGCCATTCGTACCTTCTCATTTGTGCACGTCACTTCGAATGGTATCCTTTAACGGGACGATAAACCGGGATTTCGTGGTTTCAATCGTGTAATCACGATTGTCAACACCGACTCACTGCCCCTGTACCGGGTATCGATTACTGGGAACGTCCATCTAACGGTATCGGAGTAACGCTCGTTTTTAGCTATAATTCCCATAATGTCTTCGACTTTGCCCTTGATCGTGATCGAAAGAGTGACGAAATAGCATTGCCGAGCTAGTCGTCCTCTTCAAATTATCTTTGACACCAGGTACTACTCGAGTCTCTTTTTCATCGGAGGTGATAAGATTAAATGTCCGAAGGAATACATTGAATTTACGTGTCACGTTTCAGCGAATACTCTCTTGTTATAAAGTGAAACCAAAGAATATTAACGGGAGTCCGCTTCCTTTTTTCTTCTTCTTCGACTAACAGGATTGTGAGAACGGAAACGAGTGTGCGAATAAAGAGTGAAAACAATCGAGGATGACCATCAACGACCTTATATTCAACGAGCAATTTATCTTAGGCTCGTGATATAGCCCTTCGTTCTCCACTCTTTCAGGACTTTTTGGAGTCGTAATATTTTCGGTACAAGCTTGTCGCAAAGTCTCAAGAAGTTTGCATTAAAATAAATGTTTATTTTGTTTGTAATAAAGATTCGGAGTAAGTGTACAGTTTTCCAATGAATAAAACATCGTACATCAAATATTTATAAACGGAATGTTTCTTTATTTTAACATTTATTTTCTCCAGTCATAAATTTTAAATTATGATAGTTGAAGTAGTTGGAACAACAAACAAACGTATTTTTGCCGCTCCTTTTATGTGGACATAAAATGACCGTCCGTTAGGCCGACCTTAAGCCTTCAAAGATCTTGCGATACCCACAGTTAATCCTATTGCTTTTCCGTCATTGTATAATTTTCTACGTTTTTGAATTCCCTTCAACTTTTCACGCCTTCTGGTCAACGATATTTTTCCTTCTCGTGAAGAAGGAAAGACAGGTCTCGAAATTCGATAACTACCCGCATTCGGACATGCATAATCAGAGTAGAACCGGTTTCACCAGGAGACAATTCTTTGTCTACATCGATTTGGGGAATGCATTTCCACAAACTTAGTAGCGTAGAACCTCTAAAAGCAGCGTTCGTTTCTCCTGCGCTATATAAAATTCTGATCAGTTTCCGAGAAACTTTCTGCTAAAGAATTTCAAGAATGCTTGAAAATAAATCTCGAAGTAGGCTGTTGGTCAAAAATTTAAATCACACTCGAGGACGTCAAACAAGTACTTACTTAAAGGCACGCGGAACATGCGTTCCATTATACGAAAGCATACACGTGAATCGGGTTAATTTATTATAAACGTTTGCTAACGGCGTCAGGTTCTCTTTAGGATATCCCGAGAAATTCTACAGAAAACTTACATAGCAGAAAAAATTGTTGAATCTGCCATTAGACCTCAGAGGCTCATGCGACTCCATCTTTTATGCGACTATAAAAGTCTCCAATGAAAAGGCTTCGGTTAGATTGATTAAAATAAGTTTCATTGATCGACAGAACGAGTATTCTGGTCGATCATCGAGGTCGATAATTGCCTGATCCGACTGTACACGCAAGCTATTGAAATAATAAACGAACACGAATTAGTGGCTCAATTCATGGGGATTGCGATCGAACGGTTATGAAATATCTAATGAACCAAAGGGATGCTGTTAAGATCGAAATAATTGCTATATTCGATTATTCAAATATTTGAGTACCACTCGAATAACTTAAATCTCTGTATTTGAATTTTAAAAGGTTTTAGCTGAAACACTCGAGCTCCGAATATTTGATTAACTTTTGAATATTTGATTTTATTTCAAGTATTCGATTTCGAAACAAAAACCACTATCAATTATCAGTCACTAACTATGGCCAACGGTCAAAGACCTATAGTGCCGAATATGACCTGCCTTTCATAATTACATAATCGGAATTATGAAATTCACACGTTTTAAATATTCGAATACTTCGGCCGTTTACAATTTCACGGTGGTACTTGGTGTTATAAAAAGAAAAGGAAAAAATTATCGGCTCAAAGATCCGATTTCGATCACTTAACACGTGTGTGACCTCGTACATATTGGTCGTATCAATTTTTATCTATGAAACATCGAACTAATTCGTTATCGAAATGCGTTTCTGTTTTTCTTTCAGGTCGGCATGATCACTCGGCACGTAATCTGGCCAGAAGCATCTGGACAGTCTTCACGAAATTCAAAAATATGCAACCGCTGGGATTACTGAAAAAAATCGACGTAAGTAGCCGGCGTATCTTAACCAGAATGGCCCGGTTAAGTCATATTTAAGTATTCGTTATCACGGATACAGATAATCGGTTTCGTTCACTGTCGCGTTTATTAGTTTCCCTGAAAAGTCGGCGTAAAAATAGCCTAACAGTCTGGCTAAACAACGGACGCTTTTATAATCTTGCCATGAGCGGTGAAAAACACACAGTCAAAGTTTGTTCTTTAAACGGCAAACAGTGCGCGAGCCAAGGTCCAGTGAATACGAAAAGAATGTTTTTGAAACGTCGGTAATACCGATTCTTCGCAGGAACCCTGTCTTTAGCGACTTCTTTTCATCGCCTGGTACAGCGAGGAATACGAATGAATCGCGTGTTTGTTGAAGTTTTCGAAACAAAATCATTTTCACCGAGAGAACGCTAAATCTTGTTCGACAGGTCTGAGCAGAACTCATGCTCGGCGTCGAGGGAAGCAACAATGGGATCATGCAAAGAATATCGATCGATTACTACGTTGGATTTACGGAAGAAGACGAGTAACAACTTTGGAAAGATGACGATGAACCTAACCAGAGGTCCAAGAGCCCCGGAAGAGTATCAATGGAAGAGGTGACGTATCACCCAGTGATGCGTAAACGACGTGGACTGGCCAGCGCCATTTTGGGCCTGATAGTTGGCCTTCTCCTGGGTTTCCTCATCCAAAGCTACAGAATACTCTCGTCGAGCCACCATCAAAGGTTCAACATGTATGCAACCTCTATGCCTGGGGCACGTCTGCCGCTAAAACCGTCGGCGCGTAATGTTCCCAAGCTGAACGACGACGAGCAGATAAACAGTTCTTCCAGTAGTCTGGTGTTCGTCGGTGTTATGACAGCTAGCAAGTACCTGGATTCTCGGGCCAAAGCCGTCTACGAAACCTGGGGCAAGGAGCTACCGGGTAAAATCGCCTTCTTCTCGTCGGAAAGCTCCGTTGTTCCCGAAAGTTGTCCCGATCTGCCTCTAGTGCCGTTGCCACGGGTCGACGACACGTATCCACCTCAGAAGAAATCGTTCATGATGCTACAGTACATGTGGAACAATTACGGTGATCGTTTCGAGTGGTTCCTCAGGGCGGACGATGACGTTTACGTGAGGACGGATCGTTTGGAGAAATTGTTACGATCGGTGAACTCCAAGAGAGCCATGTACATTGGTCAAGCGGGCAGAGGCAATTCCGAAGAATTCGGTCTACTGTCGTTGGAATACGACGAGAATTTTTGCATGGGCGGGCCAGGTGTTATTCTGTCCAGGGAAACACTCAGGAGGATCGTGCCTCACATCAAGTACTGTTTAAGGCACTTGTACACCACTCACGAGGACGTCGAATTGGGAAGGTGCGTGCAGAAGTACGCTGGTATACCTTGTACCTGGAGCTACGAGGTAATTTTTGTTTCTTTGCTCATGTCCTCCTCTTGCATTTCGTTAATTTAAGAAAGGAACTATCGCAAAAACTATTCTCAAGGTTTGCTCCTTTTACGAACGTGTTTCTGCGCTGCCCAGCCGCTTCGCGCGTGTTGCCGTCGTTCACATAGCATTAAATCTATTTTCGCTCGTCCTCCTTTCTTCTCGCTTCTGATGCACTGTCATAAGCGTGAACGTACGTGGCACGTGTAATTTGTTCATCGACCCAGGCTGATTAGAATTGTTCGTCTGTCTCACAGAACGTAACACGCGCACCTTGATGCATTTCACGTATCGTCTATCGACGAACGTAGCATTAACCCTTGTGTGAGTCACGTCATTAAAACGATTCGCATGTATTTTGATTTTGAACCCGTATAACTGTCATGATGAAATATAGAAATGGGTATTCGGTTACTCGGACCCACATGCAAAAGTTGATGAGTTTTGTAAAAAATGTTTACATTAAATTGTAATTATTTCGTCTGGTAGTAAAGGACAGTTAAATTTAGATCCCAAAAATGGGAAGATTTGGAGAGGCGCCGGATTTAATTATCACTTTGAGTAACGCCAGAAATAATTCAGTTAGTTGAGTCCACCTAGTAACGAAATATTCGCACGGTTCGAAGCTACCACGATACGTATATTATCAGTTTAAATACATAAGCTACGCATCTGCATCATATACAGGGTACGCTATCATTGGGTTAACTCGGAAGGTACAATGCACAGATGAGGATGTTAATCGTTAAGTATAAGCGAATAGTACCCTGCTAACCCAGTGGCCAGATCGAGTCACTCTCCTCCATCTTGACACTCGGCATTAGGTCGAAACGCTTAAGTAACAATTTGCGGCACGAAGCTCTTACGCTTCCATTCGTGTCTTCTCGTCAATAATTTAATCGAACTGCACGGTTGCGTTCGAATGTTGCATCGACGTTACGGAGCATTATCGTGTGTCTCTGTCACATCCACCGAAACACGATCCAATAAAACGTTTTTATTCTGCTTGCCAGTCGCGAGATGCAAGAATGCTTGTTCTGGATTGAGGAAATCCTAATAAAGAATGCTAGAAAAAAGGTTATGTTTAAAACAAAACTTCAAAAGCCTTGTAAATCCATCGTATCGCCGCAGAGTGTTGGCCCAGAATAATAAATGTTCAAAATGATATCATGATGTGGTAGCTACGAGCAGGCACACGAAGGTTAATCAAATAATTTGGTTGAAAGGTAAAACACAGCATAAAGATACTAGTCTTTAGATTCGAACAAATCGTAGTCGTCTACTAACCATCTGGTAGACCGTTTGATCTCGTCTTGACACTCGTCGTAAGGTCGAAACACTTAATAGTTTGTACGAGATGTAATAACTGTGAAGGTGTTTGTCGTAGACTTTTCGAACAATTGATTGACCGAGATCTACTTAACATGCAATAATAGTATCGCAATTATTCTTACGTTAACTTTCAATCTGGGTTAAGTGGCAACTGTTGCTTCTAAAGCCACACGATTTTTTTTAACATTCGAAAGCGTACAGCATGATTTAATTCAATCAGATTGATTTACAATCGAAGAATCTAAATTACCAAAGGGAATATTGAAACAAGCGGTGTTAGAATATGATCAACTTAACCCATGAGATGTAACACTAGAGTAATTCCTTGTAATAAGACACCACCACACCCAGTCTCGCGACTTGATTAACACTCGTTCTGCGACACTAATGTAAGATGCAGTTTCGTGTTCTTCGCAATAATTATTATCGGACAACGAACCAGCAGGAAGTTCATACTTTAACTACTCTTCTGTTTATTCTAGTTGTCGTTTGTCGAAGCTCGTCGTAGCTCACAAGGGGGATTAACGAATTGATTAGATTGTCTCTCTAGAAATATTGCCGTTTCTAATCGTAATACATATCCGGAAGAATAGCAGTTGTAAATGTTTCAAAAGATAAATATTATCGGTGATAATTGATCTTCAGAGCGTTCTACGTAAAAAACCGTGCAATACTAATTCAAGATACAATTATATGATTCACCCTGTACTTTTATCACACTTTGTCTGCTTGATCTTAGTCACAGTTATCTCTCACTGTTACAGATGCAGTCGATTCTGTATCACAACAGCAGCGGTGCACAGGCGTTCACCGGAAACCTGAAGAAAAAAGAAGTACATCGTGCTATTACATTGCATCCTGTTAAAAGTCCGCCACATATGTACAGGCTGCACAATTATATGAGGGTTAGTATCGTAACGTTACCTGCGCGTATCGTTTCCTCTGCTCGTGTACGAAGGATTCTGTTTCCGTTCTTTCCAGGGACTTCAGATACAGGACCTGCAGCAGGAGAGATTGAACCTTCACAGGGACATTTACACCATGGCCAAGCAATTGGAGATAAGCGTGGAGAATATGAAAAATTTTGAAATAGCTGACGGCGTGCCTCTCTTTCCGGTGAATCCCTACTCGAAAGAATATCCAGGAGACACAGAGATATTAGGTAAAATGAATCGTAGTTGCTAACGAAACACGAGATCGTGCTCGAACGAACGTATGTAGGTGTTGTATTCATTCAATGACGTTTGACAGACAATTCTTTCGCATTATGTTACCTATATAACGTGGTTAATGCATTAACTGCAGTTGTGGGTAATTATTAGGGATAATTTTCCAATATAACTTCTCGCATTGGTATTTCGTGGTATGAGCCTTGTAATATTAAGGGAAGTCGAAATTTCCCTTCTCGAGGCTTGAAAAATTCAGGACATTGGGTCACTGCTGACCCTTGCGGCATTAATCTTCCGACCTTGTTAGAAGATCTTGAACTACGCGTGTAGGATATTCACGAACAAGCGCGTTTCCCTGGATGTGCGTTATTAATAGAACCATTTAGGCCGATTAGTTCGTGCGAATTGATCGCCGGACAGCCATCACGATGCTGAAACGAGCCACGACACGATTCGTTTGAGCCCATCAAACGGAACGATCAGGACTTCGATCATCGTTCCACTCATTTCCATTTTTCACCCTGACACAGACATTTTGCGCCTACATGCTCTGGTTTTACATCCGCTGAAACCGCTAACTGAAATTCCCAAAGTCTAAGTCACGCGTGAAACATTAAAGCCTTAGAAATATTTAAATAAGCGATACTTTGGTTTGGAAACTTGCCTTCGTTAGGAACTTCGAAATTTTTTAACTTTAAAACTTTGTGAAATACGAGCTCATGATATTAATATTAATCTTTCTATGCAGGTGTTCCAGCAGGGCTTCGCTCGTTCAAACCAACAACCGCCGACGAAGTAATTCCTTGGGACTTCCTTTCGAGATCGGAGTACAGCTTAGCCGATTCGAATCCCAGGAGAAGAATTCACAGTGACATTAAAGAAGGCCTCGAGGACATCACCAGAGAAGTGATGGCTTCTATAAACGCTTGCTCACGACAGCGTGGCAGAGTCGTCGAGGAAAGGTCGACCCTATACGGCTACAGAAGAGTGGATTCTTATGGTGCCGACACGATACTGGATCTTTTGTTGGTGTACCGGAAGTACAGAGGCAGAAAGGTTACTCTACCTGTCAGAAGACACGTCTACCTTCATCAGCATTTCACGGGTATCCTCCGCATTCCATCATACGACATTTTTAATCCGCGATCCGTACATCATTCACATTTTTTCGCAGGACTGGAAATACGGGAAACAGTGAACGGGGAGGAAGTGGACGAGTCGCGAAGAAACGAACGAAACGGCAAATCTCTGCAAAGTATATTCAGCGCTGGTTTCCTGAACCTGAATTTCAACTTCGAAGAAGAAGATCCAGTCAACGGCAAGACCATCCATTTTGTCCTGCCTCTGTCCGGAAGGTACGAGGTGTTCCAAAGGTTCCTACAAAATTACGAGGAGGTCTGCTTGACGAGCGGCCAAAAGACTGCTCTGTTGGTCGTTTTATATCAGCACAAAACCGAGAACTCGTTTAATCGAACGATAGATCTGATCGAGCAGCTGAGATACAAATATCGTAGCGCCAGTCTCGACGTGGTACCGATTTCTGGTACGTTTTCCAGAGCGAAGGCTCTGAATTTCGGTGTCTCGAGGTTGAAGAACGACGACCTGATGTTGTTCATCGACGTCGACATCGTGTTCAACGAATCAGCACTCTATAGAATACGAGCGAACACTATTTACGGCAGACAAGTGTATTTCCCGGTGGTGTTCAGTCAGTACGATCCTAAGATCGTTTACAGACACAACAGGAAGCGACAGGACATGTACGCTGTGAACGAAGTGACCGGTTACTGGAGACAGTTCGGATTCGGTATCGTATCCCTGTACAAACGGGACTACAAAACTGTGGGTGGTTTCGATCTGTCCATTCAAGGATGGGGCAAGGAGGACGTAGATTTCTTTGAGAAGTTGATTAAATCCGATATCAAGATCTTCAGAGTAGCGGATAAGGATCTGATCCACGTTTATCACGATATCGAGTGCAGCAAGGATCTCTCCGACACGCAGTTCTCCATGTGCATGGGAACTAAAGCTGACACTTATGGAAGTATACATACTTTAGCGGAAATGATTTACGAAAATCCAGATATATTGCAATTTGCCAAAGCTAGAAGAGCCAATTTGACTAATGCAGCTGGTTGAATGATGTCTCGAGAATGGCAAGGTGATCGTTGAGTCTAGAGATCGATGGAGATAATTCGTAATTCAAAGTGCTTGTATTAATGTTAGCTAAGAATCAGAGTCTTTATAAAAATGATCGATGTCGTTGAGAAAATATTTGTTCGTAAAATTTTACCTTCATTCACAATTATGACAGATATCGGTATTTGTGATTTAGGGTTTATAATTTTGAAGAATGTGACGGTGTTAAGGTAGGAAAGTTTGCAACTCTGTGGTGCCAGAAAGTCTCGTAGCTAGAATAATTTGTAAATAGTCGGTGTAATTATGCTTCAACGCAGAAGTCTGTGCTGGATATTTAAAATCGAAGTCACCAAAGTCTTTGCCGTTCTAAGAATTAATAAATATGATTGCGAATCATCACGGAAACGGAGTGCAAGCCTGAGATTTAATTTAAGACGAGAAAAAGACGAAATGAACATTCGAGTTAACGATTCGTCCGTGTGAGAGATTATTTTATCTTTATACGAATATTATATTAACAATAGAGATGGAATGTTTTCGATTGATAACACGAGACTTAATCTCGTGCGTGTCGACGAAAGTTCTTCTTTGCTTATTAGTAGAAAAGAAGAACAGCCATTTTAGAGAATTGTATAATACTCTGTTGATCGAACAAATTCTGGCATTATTTATCTTATGAATGTGATGTACTGCTTTTGGTCTAACATATTTTATTTTTGCCGGAAGATTATAGTGGCAATTTTTTCTTTTTTAAAAATTTATATTGTAAGAAGTTGTTCCTTTATTCGAAGAATCAGTATGAGAATAGTATAATGGTTTTACGCGAAGATTATGAACGAATAACTTAAGATGCCAATACTCCTAGAAGAACTTAACGTTAAGTTATGCAGGATGTTCCATTTCGCTTTATAATGAAACTTTTTATTTTTTTCAACATGAATTCCTTGAGGCATTCAGTGCAATACTTTGATAAAGCAAACAGTTCAGAACATAAAATGGGACATCCTATATACGAATGATTTCTGTAAGTACATGTGATATTATCGTGCCTTGTATAGACTTTTAATTGTGAATTTTAAGTACTGCCTATTTTATCGTATTTGTACCTATACGCGGATCAATTGTAAGAAAAAGTCTGGCGATGCAAGTCGTACGACTTGCATAATCATTTATGCAATTCGTTTGCAGAGACGCTTCGACATTTTCATCGAATTCCAAATAAAATTTCTCTATTAAATAATCGCGTTGCATCAGTTGTTGTGCCTCGACGTAAACTATCCCTTCAACTATCTTGCGGTTCAAATTTGACATTTTCCTCGGTGCATCGATAAATTCACCACGGTTTCCTTGATCGGGTGGAACATTTGAGATAACGCCGGCATTTTTTGCCGTTAGAAAGTGCCTGCAACTTATAAGGTTTACCTCAAGGTCTCTTTAAGGATCGAACATGTCGAAACCCACCAATTAGTTGCAGATGGCAATTAACCGATATCCTTCTGTGAATCTCTCCTTAACGTCGTTAATTCCTTGTCGATATCATTATCGCGCAAACAACTTGGACGAGTTATTTTTGGAAGAAAATTACATATTCTTGGTACGCACATTGTTTATGCTGAAGAAGAACATACTATAGATTTCTCGGTTTCCGACGCGACGCATTAGCGCGTTATTATCGATCGTATCGAAAATAAAACACGCGTATCGGACTGAACGTATCACTAACATTAATTAAATACAATTTACTTAGACGTACCTCGGTAGATATCGCGTTGAAGATTACTAGAGTAGCAAAAAAAAAGATAAACTCGAGAAAATGTTAACCTTTTTATCACGGATACAAGAGATATTCCATTTATTTTGTATAAAAAATTTTATGGATCATCTATTATCATATACTTTATTTCGGGGATATTTGTAAACATTGTGAAAGCCCACTTTTTCGCCGAATTATTTTAACTCACTAAAAAAGTGAGTCTTCATCTATAATGCTATAAATATTCATATCTTAAGAAACAAGAATTCGTGATCAGAGACGGCATACCAAAATGATGCGTTGCTCGTCTTTTAATGGGCTAAAGCGATAAATAGAGCTACGGTACTCCGAATGATCGTAATTAGCGCGCCACAGATAGTAATTTTCAATACGTCGGTAAACAACGAATAACGTTAGCCGACGGAGCAAAGTGGGATTCTCCAAGAACGGAAGGTTAAAAAGATAGAAAAATGTCAACTCTTCAAGTCAGCGTATCATAAGGAAAGTCGAGGGCGTACCGTGTCAAGAAAAAAGGATATCTATAACGAAGATTCCATGTATATAAAGCGCCGTCAAGCAGGAAGAAACGCAACAGTAAGTAGAATCCGTGGGAAACTATCGAATGGAACAAAGAAGAGTCACGAAACGTCAGGCGACTTATCCGGTCAGGCGGCGGCGCAGCGTTTAGGAAATTACAATTTATCGCACCAAGCTCAAGGTTGTCGCATATCGTTCGTGAACGGTGCGACAGACGGCACAACCGGTGAGGCAAATTGTATTCATATTCAAGCGTGGATCCTCGTCGCAGCTGCGTTCTAACAAAACCGGCTAGTGTCGGAAGACTATTTAACCGTATCGGTTCATTCGGATCCGCACACAAATGAGCGGAAAAACAATATCCTTCGTACTATTGTCGTTGTTGGTCGCGTTGGCGATCATACAACTGGAGGCGAAGATCCTGACCGAGTGTCAGGCAGTAGAGGAACTGCAGAGGGCAAAAATCCCCAGAAGTTTGATCAGCAACTGGGTCTGCTTGATGCAAAGCGAGAGCGGTTTGAACACCAGCTTGGTTACCGGTCCGAAGACAGCGTCCAGCTACAATTTCGGAGTCTTCCAGATCAGCAGCATGAAGTGGTGCTCTAGAGGACACACCGGGGGTGTCTGCAACAAACGCTGCGAGGACTTCGCCAATGACGACATCCAAGACGACATCAGCTGCGCCCTCAAGATCCAGCAGACGGAAGGATTCAAGGCGTGGGATGGCTGGCTGAAGAAGTGCAAGAACAAGCCCCTTCCGAACATTGGAAAATGTCTGAAATGAAGGTGAACGTGGGAGCAATTCGAAGTGCACGAGAGGATGAGGATCGCCGTTGCGTCAATCTGGGGATTATCGAAATTTGGGTGATGGTTTTATTATGAATATGTAACTTTGTATGATTGTATATTACATTGACTGATGATATTGCTGATTAACCGATGACTGAGCTGATGCATGAATTGGAAAACAATGAAATGTCATGATGACTGCGGTTGGATTATAATGAGCGAGTTTAAAGGTTACGCGAATGTGTATGTGTATAATTTAATAGGCGGTTCGGTGATAAATAGTTGATAAGGTATTTCTTTTTATACAATTGTATCTACTTTTTTATGTACTTCAGTGTATATATGAACGAAATACATTACCCTGTTAATCCGAGTTTTGTTATTTTGTTTGTTTTAATCGTTGGTACATAATTAAATTATTTCCTCGTTTTTTAATTGCAAATAGATGCTTGATAACGTTCGCCAAGTAAACACTCCGTTGCGGTTAATCGTGTCGAGTGGTACGGGCAATCGTTACGCGCTGGAATATTTTTATCAGAGGATTCTTGGAAGACAATGTGATCAGATAAGATACATACAGTTTCCAGAAATTTTGTGGCAAATTTGATATGTTAGTTGCGCAATGTTCGGCGCGTAATTAAATATAATCGAGTATCGAAGCAAGGAAAACAAACTGAAGATTATTGCAACTTTTATTTCGGCGAGCTTATTACATAATTAGCGAAGCCAATGCATGCAGTATTATTAGAACGTTGTAAATATAAAGCGGACAACTCGATTCAAATAACTCTTGAATGAATTATAAATACCTCTTAGTAGTCGTTATATTATACCAATGAACAATGTTGCCTAAGCAGCGCGAGGATATTTCTGAAATATGAATACAAATTGTTTGGAATTAGGCCAATAATGATGCAAGAAATCACGATGATCTTAAATGCGTCGCTCCACTTGGCACATCGGATCGGGTCGAAACAAAAATGGTTTAGAAATTCCGACTATTAGAATTACAAAACTAGCCGTGACAGGAATGCGAGAATTTCTTCCCGATTTCATTTTCTACGCGGAGAAAGGACCGCGATATCGACAGTTTCAAAAATCATTTTTATTCAAGACAGAATCAAACGATCGACACCTGACTAATGGTCGCAAACGTCGTTGGAGATTAATCGATAAAGATGACAGAAATTTTAATGAGGCGATACATCATTAACCCCTTTCATTCTCTATAATTCAATGACCAAGGCGATATGAAATGAACATAAAAGCTAATATTTGTGTACATTGATTAAATTTATTCTGTACGAAAAAAGTTAGCGCTATCTCGTTATTTCGATAGGGTGGATAAGCAATAAGAGTATCACAACGCAATTATTCTTTGGATCAAGTCACGTAGGCAGTCAGAAACTGTTCCAAAATGACCGTAACACGTGCAAGTCGAACGAAATAATTGCTCCAAATGTCTTCGAGTCAAGGAGATTTACCCAATCCGATTAGTTTTTACACGAAATGTCATCGAAATGACAAATCGAGGCCATTAACCATCAAAATCGTTGTTACATAACGTGGATTCGTCCAAATGTCATGTACAGGCTATCATTAAAATTTGATATGCCAGTCCAGTTTGCACGCTTCTCACGCGATAAGAAAATTCACGAAGCAACCGTGAAAAGCTTTCTTTAACTATCGATTCGTCTTTCCGCGTTTCTCTTTTTCTCCGTTGAAATCGATCGTGATCGAACCGATAGAAGATTTACTTCTAGAAAATCCCATAACCGATCGTGTAAACGATTACGCAAATGGATCCATAGATTTCTAGCGATAAAATCTCAGCAATTCCGACAGTGATGCTCTTTCTGAATGTTAACGCTGAATGTAATGCGAATATGTTACAAAATCGAAACATGTGTGTGTATGTTACATCCATATATTTCTGCATTCTTAGATGATTACGTCTTCCCCTAGATCCTCAGTATTCTGGATTCTTAGATCACTGTATTCCTGTGCAATTAGGTCCATAGAGCTGTAGATACTTGGGTACTTAAGTCCCTAGATCCCTACATAGCTACATAGCCAGATCCGATTTTAAGATACTCAGATTTTTACGTACTTAAGCACCCAGGTCCCTGGATCTTCAAATCTTGACCCTTAAATTCCCAGATACATAGATATATTTAATTATCGAGGTAGATGACCCTTAAATTCCCAGATACATAGATATATTTAATTATCGAGGTAGATATCTAGACACATGGATCCACATATTTGTAATTTTCATGAACTTTATTGCTGCATGAACTGCTAGATCGATCCGAGCCACCTCGGGGTTAAAAATTATTAAGGGAATCAATCATCGGTTGATTGGAAAGATATTCGAGGATACTAAAGGCAAGGAAAGTTAGAGGAAAATCGATTTTTCAATCGTTTCGTAACATCTGAGGAGAAATCCGATCGTTTCTTAGAAAACACCCGTTAGGATTTCAATCAGAGTGATGCGTCGATGTACGGCCGCCTTTCTAGGCAAACATCGCCAATTACTGACAGAGTAGGTGTACTTGGCAAGTCAGATGAGTACACGGGGATGCACGTAGGTGCACGTAAGCGCATTTTACCGTAGAACACCGAGGTGAGTGTGCATGCACCTTTCACTAGCGGAAGTGAACAACTGAGACAAACGCGTGAGAGCGACCCGGATCGTTGTTGCTTGGCTCTTCTCTTATGGGCGGTGTTGCTTGCTATCAAAGATCGACCTACGGTGCATCGTGTTCCGATGCGATCGATCACCGACGATCTAGCTGTGTAATCATCGCTAATTATCGATCCTTTGCTGGCCTGCGCCTTGTTTACGTTCGGATGCTTGAATTTCTTCGAACCTCGTAGACGTTCACAAGGAAATTAACGTTTGATTCCTGTGATCGAACGAGTTCGAGGATTATAGGAATCTACAATGACCGGTTTAATGAATCTATCGTTACAGAATGAAACATGCGGTAGTACTGTGAATTTATGTAACCCTTGCTTCTGATGGACAGCGATAATTGTGGAGGATCAATGAAAAGGGAAATAATACCTTGGAAGCAGAAGAATAAATATCTTTAAATCTATCGCTTCAGCTCTTTTACGAAGTTACTAGCTCAAACACGATTATCAACTTAATTGAGAAATATAATTAAAAATTTATCGCGTATTACATGATATTCTTTATCTACCTGTTATTTTGCACGGTGTAGACAAATAAACGAGTCTGATAACCGACGATAGCAACAACCATGAAAAATCGCCTCTGATATCTTGCAGTCGCGTAACCGTGAAAACTAACCGGAAGTAATTACCAAGCGATAAATCATGCACATAACGCGTTTACGTTAGACGTAATAAACCCAGTCTGCACACGTCGCATTTCGCGCTGCATCGCTGCTCAACAACGGTACGCGGTTAATGAATATTAACAAGCATTTTGTTGGACGTTAACACTGAATGGAACACGTACTCGTTCACAAACGAGATGTCCTTCCACGAACACCTTGTGAACTCTGTTTACGTATAAATTCGTTCAAAACAACCCATTTATTTATTTTCCAATTTTGGCTTAATGGGTTATAGTGAGAATTAAGCATGAAAATTAAGCGTGGTCTATTAAACTCCTACACTCAATTTGACTATTATGTTCTCAGGGAAATATTAGAAAATTGCTTTAGGTCTCCTCCTACGTCTTTTTAAATTTTTGAAGTAAAATTTTCCATGACCAGCACGTACTCGGCACGTGATTACCCAGGTAATGTTTAAGTCTTCGGTAAAGTTTCTGACTGTTAAACTTCCAGCTTTCTATCTGCCAAAATCAGCAAAGTAATTAATCTAGGATGATGACAAATGTTCCTAAGCTCACCGAGTCAAACTAGAAGATTTAGCATTAACGGTAGAGCTATTGGAGACTCGAGCAGTTACAGTCGTCCTTTCCCCTTCCTGGATATCCCAATTATCTCGGATTGATTAACTAACGGATTCTGCGAATCCGTTTCCGTGAACCAGACAATTTTCGATAGTTCGCACGGAACTCCAGGGTCGAGGCTGTGTTCTCAGAGCATCTATCGTTCTTTACAGGAAGAAGGAAGTGCGCGAATCGATCTTGGAATAAACGAGCCCGAGTAACGGTGCCTGGATGAGCGTGCCGGTGAAACTCGACCGTAGTTTAAGCGACCTCTGCAAAGGTCGCTTAGCGTTGCTTCTTCGAAGAAAGCGATTCGATGGAGAACGAAGCGAAGTCATCCAAGAAATTACATCGGTTCAGGTGAATCATTTTTTCGTAATTATTCGAGATCGCCGGGTCGCATTTCCTCTTCGTTAATGCCGCTCGAAAACAATCGTACCGTTTCCAGCCTACTCATTCTTACTCCTAGCTCATTAATTAGAAATTGCTTACCGAGAAGTTTGGTAATGATCGTCCAGTTGCGTAAGAGGTTTTACGTTAAAAATGAGCGATCTCGGTGAAAATTACACCGGTAGGATCGTGGGCGAAAAGATGGCAGAGGAAACGATTTAACGGACGTTACTCGCCGTGCAAAATAAGTGTTTTGTGGCGGAAAGGAAAGCGGAGAGATTAAAACGGTGCCAAGCTGATTAGAAAGAAGCGAAAGGAGCGGGACGACAAAACTCTCGTAAAATAGACGGTATCGTACTGTGCTTAACACCTCCGACTCGTCGTCGGCACTATAATAGATTGATTAAATTCGCGAAAGAGCGTTAAAACGAATTTCGCGCTGTTCTGATATCTACGCTGAAATGTCAAGGGTAGTCGGATAAAATTCCTGCATACTTTATTCTTATTTCTCCTCGAGTGAAATTTACAATCTTACCTGCTGAATTTCTGAAAGTGTCTCTTCAAATTTCTACACGATTGAGCCTCGTAGTTAATGACATTTTGATTATGGGTCGAAATGACCTAGAATGTCCATTTCCTAAGGGTTAGTCGTTTAATTACCGACAATGAGTAAGAAGGTCTCATTGTGAAATGGAAAGTGATTTAGCGGACAGATAATAACATTATGGCAGAATATATTGCTGATTAATATTATGTTGTCCAATAACTTTTCATTTATTGACTACCAGTTTTCATAATAACAGATAGAAAGTCTTCAAGAATCATAGTGAAAAATGGTACTGTTTTACGGAGAAACTAACAATTTCAGCTTTATAAAATAAATAGCTCGTTCGTGTTACGTTCATTGGCGCAACCATAGTGCACTTCGAATAAAAATCCTAGATACGCCAATGGTTACGTTGACTAACCGTTCAATCACCGAGTATAGAGGACTACCAGTTTTCGCAATGAGAAATTCAACGCTTGTACGTGGACATTCTCTAAATTTCTTCTTAATTTCTTCGACTACAATGACATCAATTGCGCGCAGGCTTACGTAACGTGCGAGCATCTGATTTCATTTACCAACAAAACGTGCTGGGTCTACGATGAAGAAAGCGAAATCGTAGCTCGTATAATTATTGTAACTTGTCCGGTTGATGATTAAATGAAAGAAAGGACGGAAAAAGGAGGAAGGAACTCTGACGATATTGTATGAACGTTACTAAAACATAGTGTGAAGGGTGTTCAAAAAAATAAACAGTGTTCCATTCCGACCCGTCTTCGTCCGGTATAAACCAACCGGAAGCGTTTCTCCAGTTTTCACATACCACAGTGATAATTACGTACATGGGAAGATGCTCGTGGCGCTCTTCTAGGACGTCTGGATATTTTACCGGTCTTCAAGACCGAATATAGTACCGCAAAAAATTAATTTATTTTCTCAAGCCTCGAGCAGTGGCCACGTTAATTACAGACTTAACTACAAACAATGGTTCAGTGACTAAAATTTGACAAATTCGCAAGGGAAAAATTTTTACTTATAATTAGGAGAACAGAATAAAATTTAGAAAAATAGAAAAATAGATTATCGTAGTTATAGTAATTAGGTATACTCTTGTCACATTGTTCCGCAAAAATATCTTACGACTTCCTCCTTCGCGTCGGCGAAAATCGATGATGAAAGCGTCAGATACCGAACGAATCAGATTTCTTATTAATCAGAGATGGTGAGACGCGACAAAGGTGCAAAAGTGATCTCATCACGGAGAAATTGGTACATACAAGCAGGGTGGCATTGTTGCGAGAGCAGAACCCGGTTGAAAATTCGCAGCAACGTTAATGAGAGTTTCTTGCTGACGTATCGCGGCTATTACATCGTGTGATGGTTATCAAAATAATAAAGACGAAACGCTGCTTGTCCCTCTTGCAGAAGTGGAAGGCCAACGGCATACATTTCGACGGCATAAACCTACATATTTTTACGTTGTTTAGACCAAATGTTCTTTCTACCGTTAGCACTCAATTATCATAAAACGTCTAGTTTGAAGAAAGTAATTAACTCCTCTGGCCATCAATCATCGTGGAAATCACTTTCTAGGGACAAATTTTTAATCCTGAAATTTAAGAAATTTACTAATAGAGCGTTGAGATATCAAAGGAACTTCAGCAACCCCAAGAAAGTACCCTTCTCTATTAACCGATACAACTATTAAAGTTTATAAACTTTCAATGAGATTATCCGGTAGTCTCTAGAGGACTTAACGTCAAATCACACGATTTATATAGCAAGTGCGATGGTGTTTAGCTGTCGACGGGAAGGGAAGCATCCTCTCTTGTGCAACAACTAAACGCAGGCTTGCTCCGTTTCCCGTAAGCAATTTTGCGTAATCGTACTACCTGCTTCAGTTACTTGCACATCACTAACGAGTATACTCTGCTCGCTTACCACGTATGTTTCTCGTGATTATCATAAAATTCTCCAGGAAGACGATCTGTATAAATTTTGGTACAAAACCAAAAGCAATCGATCACGTATCGCACGTGGCTCTCTCGTATCCAGTCATGCAAATGAAAGATTCCTGAGGATTCGTATAAATCTTCCAGACATTTAGAAATATGTTCATGAATTTGATAGGCAATCGCAGTAAAATTGTGAAACGTCTACAGAAACGCCTACTGCAGTTCCATAGCTCACGAAGAAGAATATTATTCCATGGTGTATGGCAAACATTTACGTCGCTCAAACATTCTCATGAGCATGTTAATGTCTTAGGTGGACACTCGTGTTACACGCTATTGTTTACATGGCTTAATGACTTCGACCGGAGACGCGAACTGCTTAATCAACTCTAATGATTCGGTGATCGACGATCATCGAACTCTCTCCTTGAATGGAATTAGAGATGCTGCTTCCGTCGTGATGTACCCGATTTTTTCTCGACCACCTTACGAAAATATTTCTCCCTTCACCTTTCACTTCGAACTCCAGCCTTTCACCTCATGGGATCACATGCAATTTCATTACGGCGTTAGTTTTTATCGGATTCGGAGTACATCTCGCAGGATGGTCTCTGTTACGCGCCACGCCGAGGCGATTGGGAGCAAAATGATTCCGAGAGTTCGATCTCATGAAAATGTATGTCGACAGCATTCTTGTACGTAACGTGGCCATAAAAAGGTTGGAATTACATAATTGAAAAAGTTTACCAATTTTTAGCGTCGATAAATGGATAGTCAAACAGCGGATACTTTCTTTTTTTCCATGGGCAATCAGAATTTTGAATACGGATAGCAGAAAAGCATCGCGAAAGTTTGAAACGTAATCGAGCTATATTTACTTTACGTAGGATTCATAATTGCTAATAAAAACAACTGTGCAGAAATGTTTAATTACTCGAGAGCCGGCATTCTGTGCCCGAGATGAAAGTTAGATGGCGAAGCTGACTAAAGTACATAAAATACATAAAAGATAAGAGTCCTTTTTCAGATAAAGAACGTTTCCCGTGGTTAGCTAAATCGGTTGAAATCGAAGCGAGTGGTCGAGATGCAGCAAAAAACGGCACGAACTAAACAACATCGAAGAGGAAGAAGACCATTCGAGAGAAGCTCTAGCGGCCGAGCGAAAGTCAAGCCCCAGGCCCATAGATTCCCCTTCTTTCCTTACGACCCTGCAACATTAGTATCCGAGAAACTCGGATACGAGCGAGTACTTACACACCGAGAGGTGCCTTCAGGGCCCAGGAATATTACGCGAGTCATCGGGATCGAGAGGCCTCGATCAATCGCGCCTGTTATTGAGGAAATCAAAATTTTTCACCGAACATCCCCCGACGATCTGGCGATAGGAATTTCAATATAATCGACTAACGAGGAAAAATATCTTGCAGGAAACTTTTAGAAGTTTTTATGGTATATTAACTATCGGTTGACAGGTTTTATTGCGCTAGTCGGACATTAACATACACATGGTGTTCATAATGTGACTTTTTTACGACCTCTTCCAAACTTTCGTTATAATTACTTCTCCCACATGGTTGTATGTAATCTTGTTGAGTTTAATTTTGTATTTTTAAGTATTAGATTATTCAACATCACCCATGACGTAAATGTAAACGGAGATGAAACTTATACGGCTGTAATAAAAGAGATCATAAGTTACAGAATTACGAAATCCTTGCTTTAAGTATTGGCAAAATTACAACCCATAAAAGAGTAATGGAAACATCAGCCACGAATGTTTTTCCTTCGCAAGAATTACATACAATACAACAACTTGAACCAGTGATCGTCTAAAATGTTTTACCTCGATTTAAAGAGTAATGTTAAGACGAGGAGCAAGATGTATCAACCTCGCTCCACCTTCGCATTTGCTTTCTCTCATTCGATTCGTTTCAATATAAGTACAGAGATAAATTGTTGGACGACAAACGGTGGCACGATGCGCCATACGTTACGGAACCCTGCCATTATCATTAATCGTTCGAAAGGTATAACGTCTGATCCCTCGACATCGATATTTCAATATTCCAAACGTACATGGTTTCGTCAGAACAAAATAACGCACAAGAAACATCTCGGAATATTTGATCGAAAGTGAAGTAAAAAATTTCACTTTCACTCGAGATGAGTCTAGGAAGAATAGACCTTAACAAAAAATAGCCAGTTATCTTTCTAAATAAAATACAACCCCGGATTTCCTTTAATAAAGTTTAACCATTGGCGTAATTAGGGTTTATGGGAAGGCCTGGTCTTACATCCATGCGTTACGTTACCATGTGTTCGATTACCATATATTAGATTGCCTCGTGTTGGATTACTGATTGTCAGTGCAATCACATATTAGAGCTCCACACGCTATCATCGCGTATTCTATCACCACGCATTGGATCTCTATTGCAACGTTAACATTGCTACGCGTTGTATCGCTACGCGTTGTATAACCACGCATTAAACAGCAACGCGTCGTAGAACCGTATGTTAAATCACCACGCCTTATATTTCCTTCAGAAGGGACCAAACCCTAACTATTTATCTAGTTACGCCAATGGTAATAACTCAGACATTTCATAACACTGTAACTTTTACACAAACGAACGACTTCTAATTATCTAGAAACATAAGATATCGATCGTGAAGACAGTATAGGTAACACAAAACGTACGATTTCCTGTTTCCTTCATCGATAATCAGAACCAGAAGCCTTTCCGCTTTTCCAGCAACAAACAAACGACACCACGGTACTCGTGCTCGATGTGAACGCAAGAAAATGCTTCGCAGCGACGACTGACCGACGTTGACACGCGAGCGGAGAACGCGGGAATCCGACCGGAAACGGGGCGAACAGAAGAAAGGATAGGAGTCCGAGGATGACAGGAACAGTAGATCGGAGCGTATCGAGAAGTGGGTCGAGAGTTCACCAGACGGCTAATTAAATTCTAGATGGAAGAAAGCGTTTTCCCTCTCGTTTCGTGCTGCCGTCATCGTTCGATGGACCGGGATGGACAGCGTCCGATATCTCTTCTACTTTTTTGTGCTTGTACGTATGTATGAGCAGGATGAACACTGCTAACGTCGAAGATGGTTCATAGCGATGGCATCAAACTCAGTAGTTATTAATCTCAATCAATTGCAATACCTAAGCTTCTCTTCGTTTCCTTTTTTATACGTAGATGTTCATGACTTTAGTAGGAAGGTCTCGTACAAGTTGCTACAAGTTTCATTTTTATTCCATCAGTATTTAATTTGAAAGTACTGCTTTTATTTATTAAAATATCTACTCAGAGAGGCCTTAGATTACCTTTGATACCATTCCACTTTTCTTTAAGTACTTATCGTCAACTTATCAACTGAACTTACTTGCGAGCTACTCGAAGCCATCACTAACGATTACGCTTGGAGACTGTAAGGAAGCTCTCCCGCAAGGATGATACAACGACTTTTCTTCCTGATACTCTCTACCCTCTGAAGAGCAGGGATCAACTCTACCGGGTGGTTCAACGACATTTTTCGCGCTAGTTAATTAACGGTTTTTATTTATAAAGGCAGTTGCTTAACGACGCGTTACGTAAAATGGGTACAAAGAAGCGCGCACTAAAACTTCGATGTTACTTCTGTTAATGAACAGGTGTTTGATAACTTGGCCCGATTAGATCGCTGGAATTCAATTGTGCAAAACATATAATCAAACATTCGCTCCTATTTCAGTAGTTGACATTCTCTCTTCTCTTCCGTAAAATTTTAACTGCAACGAAACTTACAATGCTGTAATACCGATACTCTGCAATTTACTGTAAACTGGGATTAAATTGTATTAAGATAGAGAAGATTATGTACCTTCTCAAAACTTTGGCTTCGCTGATTTTAAAATAATTGTACCAGTGCTGCAACTTTATTATTACAGCCATTATAACTTTGATCTTCCAGCTTGGTATTTGATTGTCTTGTTTCGTAAACATTGTACTTTATTTCTTCCAGACTGATTGAACTTTGTTATGCTCTCCTTTTTGCTACTAGCTAATTATTAATAAGTTAGGATATAGATCTTGAAAGTATTCCTACTTTCTGCGTTGTAAAAACTGACCAGGATGAAGAACATCACACGGAAATTGATTATTCGATCAAAACGTGCAAATAATCTTATCAAGATGAATTCGTGAACAGGAGAAATTTTATCCCGTAAAAACCAGCCAAAAACCAGCTGCCTCTTTGTGTTCATCTTAATTCATGGTACGATAAGTGCATGACGAAGTAGGTTGATTGCTTGGAACGTCGCTTGAAATAAAAAAGAGGATCCTTCTCGTGGTTTACTTGTAATGTTAGGTATACGGTTCTACGTGCCTCGCAAGGACTCGCGAGCAGAATGTTAATGATAGAAATTTTAACAAGATTCGGAGGAGTACTTGATAAGCAACGTACAAGTCGATAGATATCGAGACAAAGTTGCGACTCGCAAAGCGTAATTGCGACTTACGACAGAACCTCGTGTCGTCTAGGACGCGGTGCTTCTACGCGAACAAACTTTTCGCAAGAAATTTGCATATTTTCTATTCGATCGACGAAACTTCTAATCGTTTCCTGCTATACAAACAAACGCATCAAGGTAAACCGGCAAAGTCTTCTAAATCCGTCGAACCTTTTAGTCCGTTGCGTCACGTTGACAGAAGAAAACTTGGAACAAGATCGAAATCGACCAAAAAATTCGACTCGTGAAATCGTGAAATAGCTGCAGGCACGAAGAGCGATCGAGCATACAGAAGTCTAGGTCTAGGACGCAGCTTGATATCCGTTGGCCTACCTGCTGCTCGAGAGGGACGTTTCACAACTGCTCATCGGCCAAATTCGGGTAATCGTCAGGGCAGAAGGTCGAGGATCGTCGAAGACGAGGATGAAACTGATGTAACGTACGACGGAGGAACGAAGACGCGAACACAATTGAAAGGACAGAAGAGAGGAGGAGAAAGAGGAGGAGAAGGAGAATCGTCTCACAGCTGAATTACTCTCACTCGAGAGGTCCCCGTCTCTTCTTCGTGGGGGCCTCAAGTATCCCCCTGCTTCTCGTGGAGTATAAAGGACCCTGGTCTACCTTGCACAGAGTCACAGAACTCAGCGGCATCGCAGAAGCCGACATGAATCCTCTGCTCGTGGTAAGCACGCTGTTTTCTCTTAAAAATTGCTTTGATCGAAAGAGAGAGAGATCGATACGTGAACAAGTGTAGCCATTTTCGAAGTGAGATCTACGGGATGTTCCAAGTGACCGGTGTCCTCGATTTCGTTCAACACGTGTCTCTATCAATTTTTTATCCTACTATTGGGATTACCGTCATCCGTTTATACAATTATTTAGTTCCATCGAGTAATTCGAGGTTTCGCGTTGACCACAACCAGCACGGTCACTTTCCCCGCCGATCGTGACTTCTCTTTAGTTTCGACCACGCATCGATGGTCGTGACCATTTCGAATCTTCTTTTTTTCCTGCTCATTGGGTCAGCTTATCCGAATCGATCCCTTCGGGCAATACTTTCTATCAGGAATCGTCCGCTTTTGATCGTATCCGCTAATAATTTTATTCGAGTCGACGAGAAACTAACCGAACTGAATGTTTTATTGAAATTTCAGTGTTTGATAGTCGGCCTGGCAGGGTCCGCCCTGGCCGATGCACCAATTTCTTCCGGATACAACTACGCCAGGCCAAGCGGAGGAGGCAGCAGTTATTCCTTCGGCGGAGGAGGTGGTGGTGGTTACTCAGGAGGTGGAGGTGGAGGTGGATACACCGCCGTGTCCACTGGTTACCAAACTAGCGAGGGTGCCTCCGTCGACGGAGCTCTTCTCGAACAAATCCGTCAGATCCTGCTGAAGGAAGAACTTCAGGCCCAACAGACCGGTGGATTCGGAGGTGGTGGTTACGCTCCTAGTTCGAGCTACGGTGCCCCATCCAGCCAGTACGGTGTACCAAGCTCCAGCTATGGTGTACCGAGTTACCAGACCCGCGTGGTAGGCATCGATCTCGAAGGAATCAGGCAAGCCATCCAAGTCGCACAGTTCAACCAAGTGAGCCAGGGGCCTGGTGGCTACCCAAGTTCATCCTACGGGGCACCAAGTTCATCCTACGGGGCACCGAGCAGACCCAGCAGTAGCTACGGTGCGCCGTTCTAAACGGTCATCGAACTTCAACGGATTGGATGATGGGAGAGCGAGAGAGGGAGAGAAAGAGAGAGAGCGAGTGAGGACACCGGTCGACCAAAACGATGATCTTTCGAGCTGAAATTTTTAACGAACAAATCGTGATTGCGCTTGACCCGGGGAAACCGGGATGAATAACAGGAGATCAAAGAACTAGCTTCGAGCTTTTGAAATCTGGTTCTTCCAAGTGACATACATTCTCCTCCGAGTCGCTCGGAAGGTCGTCGTACCAAAGGCAGATCGTTAAGATGGATCGGCGCGAAACTTCCCCACACCCCCTAAACGAGATTCTTCGCAACGAACGTTCGAAGAAAAGTCCCTTTCCAACGAAGGTCATCAGGACGAGTCAAGATTCTCGAGGACACAAGAGAGTAGATCAAGGATGTACGCGCGGTAAACATCGGATAAGGATTCCAAGGCTCCTGTTTCGTTGAAATCAAATCGTCGTCGTTTCAACGAGCCACGATCCTCCAAGGAATCAACGATGCGTACGTACCAGAGGTAACCAGCTCCCAGCCGCTGTCTCGTTGGAGAATAAAGGTCGTCGCTTCAACGGGTCAGGGCTCCGGAGTGAACTTGAAGAACGTCCCAACAGCGATCGGGTCAGCTTAACGATCTGAGCGTCGACGAGGTGTCGCATTCTATCGTACCAAAATCATTTCGTCGCCGCGGTCGGATCCGTGATGGATCCACAACAAGTGATAATAATTAAACAGAGCCAAGAAACTAGCTGCGCAAAAGATGGATCTCAAAGAGATTCGACGATACTATTCACAAGACTTTCGAGCTACGGTGCCCCATCCAGCCAGTACGGTGTACCAAGCTCCAGCTATGGTGTACCGAGTTACCAGACCCGCGTGGTAGGCATCGATCTCGAAGGAATCAGGCAAGCCATCCAAGTCGCACAGTTCAACCAAGTGAGCCAGGGGCCTGGTGGCTACCCAAGTTCATCCTACGGGGCACCAAGTTCATCCTACGGGGCACCGAGCAGACCCAGCAGTAGCTACGGTGCGCCGTTCTAAACGGTCATCGAACTTCAACGGATTGGATGATGGGAGAGCGAGAGAGGGAGAGAAAGAGAGAGAGCGAGTGAGGACACCGGTCGACCAAAACGATGATCTTTCGAGCTGAAATTTTTAACGAACAAATCGTGATTGCGCTTGACCCGGGGAAACCGGGATGAATAACAGGAGATCAAAGAACTAGCTTCGAGCTTTTGAAATCTGGTTCTTCCAAGTGACATACATTCTCCTCCGAGTCGCTCGGAAGGTCGTCGTACCAAAGGCAGATCGTTAAGATGGATCGGCGCGAAACTTCCCCACACCCCCTAAACGAGATTCTTCGCAACGAACGTTCGAAGAAAAGTCCCTTTCCAACGAAGGTCATCAGGACGAGTCAAGATTCTCGAGGACACAAGAGAGTAGATCAAGGATGTACGCGCGGTAAACATCGGATAAGGATTCCAAGGCTCCTGTTTCGTTGAAATCAAATCGTCGTCGTTTCAACGAGCCACGATCCTCCAAGGAATCAACGATGCGTACGTACCAGAGGTAACCAGCTCCCAGCCGCTGTCTCGTTGGAGAATAAAGGTCGTCGCTTCAACGGGTCAGGGCTCCGGAGTGAACTTGAAGAACGTCCCAACAGCGATCGGGTCAGCTTAACGATCTGAGCGTCGACGAGGTGTCGCATTCTATCGTACCAAAATCATTTCGTCGCCGCGGTCGGATCCGTGATGGATCCACAACAAGTGATAATAATTAAACAGAGCCAAGAAACTAGCTGCGCAAAAGATGGATCTCAAAGAGATTCGACGATACTATTCACAAGACTCCGAGAACGAAAGCCGTGGAGTCGAAGCCGTAGTCGAAGCCGTGATCGGCGCGAGAACGCGCCTTGTAAATACAATTAACACACGCTTTCCACAGCGTCCGCTGCGTCGTTCGATCGTACGAGGAGGAACTGACGCGTACACGAAAAACGAACAATATCGATCTGGCCAACAAACAAGAGGAGCAACCAAACAACCGACATCGAACAGGACAGAGAACTATTGCCGAACGAAGCGGGCGCTGACGCGAACCACATACGTACACAACAAGAATACACTCTATTTTTTTATATGTTCTAAACGCTACTCCTTAACCACGCATACTTTTTTATACCTGTATAAAGGCTTTTTTTGTAGAAAAAAATAAAAAAAAACGTCGCCACCGTTGAAATCACAGATGCACGATCAATATAACTTCGGAAAACGTGTCCCTCGACCCAAAACCGTCGAGATACGAGCGTTTTCTTCTTCCTCCTTAATTTCTCTTTTCCTAATCGATCTTTCACCTTGCCGTTACGTCGTCTCCGTGATCGATCCAAGGGTTCAAAGTGCCGTGACCCCCTGAGTGCTTGTCCAACGCTAGTGTTCTTCGTTTTTTCAACTTCCTCCTTCAGAGACGAGCAATTTTTTGTTCTTTCCGACCATCAGACGCCTTTCTCCTTTCACTGCGCGCGGATCCCCCAGGGCTACGAGCTTCTCCAGCTGGACATGACGCAAATTCTCACGAGCAACGGATGCTCGCGAAGCGGACCACCGGTCAGAGATTCGAAAGTGGTTTTCAGCTGCTCGCTGGTACACGAAATCTGCTCGGACGCGTTTCTTTTCTGTCCGTGCACGCTCTCGGGTGCGATACGTCGTCGAGGCATTCGCGAAATTTGCAAGATCGCTCGGTTAGGAAGCGTCGACCGAGTTGGCGGAAGCGCAGATAAGTTTCGATCGTAAATTTGAACTCCAGTAATGGAAACGTTTAGTCGTTGAATAACGAGCAGCGATACGACGAGTCAAATAGGTTTGTGTACGCGCAGATTTCGTTGTTTATGCAATCCGTCTGGCGCGGACGTAAAACGCCGCGATTTTTATTAGCACACGCGATACGAGACGCTTCTTTATTAGGAAAATGTTTAAACGTCGCTTTATGGGATCGTGTCGTAACCCGCTCGAACCGATTACGCGCAGTAAACGATGCGCTTTGAAATTGATAGAAGTCGGCACGTACAGAAAGAAAGAGAATCCTGCTACGCTTCGGGTGACTTCGATTAAGGGCCTACCACTGTTTCCAGCGAGTAATTAAAAATTGAGTAATGAGTTTCTGGATTAAGTAATCAGCTAACACAATGCGAGGTTGGCGCAATTAAGACGCATCATGATAGAGAATAAATCGCGGCCATGCTAGACCTAAATTAAATCATTATTCTGGATGTTTCTCCGCGCCTTAGACGTCGCGTTTAATCGGCCTGCGATTGCACAATTTAATTTGTAACACGTATAGCGCAAGAAGTAAATGTACGCTAAATGACCGACTTTAAAAACGAGCTTTACCTTCGCTTACAGGTATCGAGCATTTTCCTGGAAGTATTAAAAGATGGTAATTCGATAGAATCGCTTTTAAATTTAAAAGATGTTCGATTTGAAAGTCGCTCTTCTTTAAGAATCTTACACGTAGTAGTCTATTTTTGGAAACTTTATTTCATTTGAGCAATACTGTTTTCTACTTAATTTGGAATGTATAGACATCACTCACTCGATCGCGTCAATAAATCATGCGTTTCTAGGACTGTAGTTGCGTCACGAGTACGGCTAGAAAATACAAAGGTAGGTCAGTTTTACAGTAAAGTTTAATCCAAGAATAACATCGTGGACATTGCGTGAAAACAAAGATGAATCGTTTAGAGGATGTTCCGTGCCACATGTCGGAAAACATTAAAAAACGTTCACGTTATGCGCCACTGAACCACCATCTTTCTTCTTCCTCCGTTTCCGCGTTTCCTGATGTTCCTACGATTTTAAAACCGCAACGAAACGATTCGCTGTGCGCAAAGGAGAATAAAAATCGACCAACTGCGTTGGATTCGCGGGCAACAGTTGTCGTAGGCAGACTCTATTGTCACTCTGCATTCGAGTAGAATAATTGAAATCGAGAAAGCGTTATTTCTTCGAACAGCCGAGAAAATCGGAATATCAACGATTCGACCATTCTAAAAGACTTACGTATGTACGACGTCCAGCGGGGAAAGTGCGCGACTCTTCGCCAACAGGGATGGCGGGGTCGAGAAAGGGGAAAGGAGAGAAGAAGAGGAACTGTGAGACTCACCGTGGAATTTTGTAAGAGCCGTACATAATCCATAAACCTGCCTGCCAGGCCAGAAGCCGTGCGAAAGAGGGAAAACGAACCACGCACATGGGATCCGTGCTCCAGTTTCAAGGAACACGAAATCCTGCTGAACGGGATACTTCGGTTTATTCCATCTCTCGTTTTGACACAAATATTTAACAGGATAACAAAAGAAACTTTATACAAAAATTCATAATTTATAGTGAACTCGTTTAACTATCGGATTAGTCATCGGTGTCGGAGCTTAAACTTATCAAACGAAAATGACAAGTATACGGTGTGAAGTATATTTGACAAAATTTTCTGATAGTACATGATCAAACATAGAACTGTGCTATCATTTTCAAAACATGTATGCACAGACAAAACTTGGCAAATATTGTTCCATGATCAACGAATGGAAATTTCATCTCTCATGATAAACGTGGAGAGCTGTCTTTATTAATTGATAGAATTTTTTGAAGTAAATATGTTATAAAAGAGGACCGACTGAATCACGCTGAAAGTTGGCCGGCAAAGGGACGTTTGTCGACTGGTCTCCCTTTCCAAAATTTATAACCGACTTTTTCTTCGAGCCAAGCGGCAATCGAGGGACCAATCAGCGGCGAAGAAGTCGCGCAGCGTGTGAAAGGAGAGAAAAACGCGGGCACAGTGACGCACAGTGTGTGATCCGCTCGACCAATTATGGGAAGAGAGGATTTGTCGAGCAACCGGCTCGTAAAACGAGCTCGTTCACAATGGTCCTCCTTCGTTGTTTTACTTTCGCTGATCCCGTCGTTTTCCTCGCGAACACAAGCGTTTTTGACGGGAACCGAGTCTGCTCTTGCCTCACGTGGTCGGACGCGTTTTTAACGAACCGCTTGGTCCGTCTTCTTCATAATTATGGGACCGTCTAACAATTACTCTCTACCAATTATATCGATGTCTTCCGCCAGAAAGTAATTACGCCGTGATGGTGTAATCGACCGGTAAATTTCACGGTACCCTTCCATGAATTTTCGCGTAGAGAAGTAACAGGGAAATTTCACGGATATCTTTCTCTCAAATTACTATCTTTAACGAGCCTAATGATATCTGGCACAACGTACACGCGCCTGAAGTTATTTAACAGACACGATAGATCGAGGCGTTACGTAACTCGCAGCCGACGAAAAATCGCGACAGCGTCGGTCATTCGCGAGAAAAATGAGAAAAGAAGAGAGGACGATGGACTCTCGGTAAAATCTTATGTAACCCGATGAGTACTACGCGAAGGAGTCCGAGGAATGCAGGTCGTAGCCGGCGAACGGGCGGCTAAAAGACAAAATAAAAATAAACCTGTAATTTTAAGAGATCGTGCCCAGAAATTGTGTAAATCGAACAGGGGATTGCACAAGAGATTCCGTGCCTCTGATATATTACGATGAATGAGATCAGCAGACTGCAGGGCACCGTTATGACATTTTGTGGCTTTTCTTGGTGACGATCGCTTCGTATTTTCTGCTTGCCTAGAAGAACGTGAATTATCAAAACCGACAACGCACATGGTGCGTCACGTATTGCCTATGTATTCAAAAATAAAAAATACTTTCTCGAGTAGAAAATATTGTTATCTAAATCTTGATTAAAGTATCTATGATTGCACAACGATGTACACTCGAATGATAAAAATTATATTAAAAACAAATAAGAGATTATGAAAAGCAAAGAATTGCTCTCGATGAATGAGAATTGATTTGCCACGGTAAAAATTAGCGTAACACTTCTCCATTGATGTACGCATTTCCACCCCGAGAAAGCGGAAAAGGGGAGAAAGTTGCGGGAAAATCGTTCGAAGCTAAAACGTTTTGTCAGACTATACCTTCGGCATCATTCAAGATAATTTACAGTGCGTTATTCAATTTACGATTTAAATGACTCGAGACAAAGTGCGTTCGAAACTTTGACGAAAAGGAAACTCCTATACCGGAAGTCTTACTTATGGGTAAAGATTTCTCTGTGCTCGGTTTGTGAAAATCAAGGAAATATTGAAACTTATGCAACTTAATTTAAATCATGATAAATTTGATTTCATGACAGTAATTAATTGAACGGAAATTGATTATTGTAGCAAGGAAGTAGGCGTGGCTGCTTTTTGTAGGAGGTGAAACAGGATCGGCGGATTGTTCGGAAAAATGCTTGGACAAAAACGGAAGCAAGCTTTCCCTAAACGAATGCGTGAATATTTCAAAATCGTAAAAATGTCTAACTTATTCGTTCGTTAAAATCATTACCAGCTTAAGTTTGCAGTACAAAAATATAAAAGATGCTTCTTGTAAAGTGGCTTTTGCTATGATAAAGGGAACACTTTGTTTTTAATACAAACATAAAAAATAAGGAATTTAATTGTTTCACTTATGTACATCACTGAATGTTTAAGCTTCTCACAGCACAATTGTCCTTTTTATTTACACCTTCAATTGTTCTTTGTTCAACCAAGCACCAGTTTCACGATTATCGTTATAATGTTAAAGAATATCAACGGAACTGTAACAAACAATATGTTGTTATTCTTAGAACTTACAGAGTACATATCAAATAAATTATTTATTTAATTACCCCGAACCACTGTCCTTATAGACGTGATCAAATGCAACAGTTTTGATTTTGCCGTGGGGGGTTCACCGAAGCCCTGAACATTTTGCCACGATGCCCAACCGACTGAGAACATAACCAACAAATTTAATGTCACTCTGTTTATCATAATATATTCAAAATAAACTGCTAAAAAGTAATAGAGAAATTTATAAGTAGAAAGTGGCATACCTCCAGCAAGAAACCTTTCTTCGTTTAAGATGCAAATGGCGTTTAAACACAACAAAGTTGCTTCAAAAAGTGTCCACAAAGTGAACGCCATGTTATCGATGGAATGATACAAACGTCATCGTCGAAGACAGCGCCACGACAACGGGGAATACCCTAAACATTTTGCGCGATTCATCGCTTTGGCCGCTATCGATCGAGATTCGATCGCCATCTTCCGTAACCCGCCTGAACTACAAATCAATCGAGCCGCTTTTGCCGGCAAATTCAAATTAAAATCTGTGGCTCTTCCATTCAAATCAGATTTTAACTAAATTTAATTTGCTCTACGTGTCCTTCGTGTGCTCTAAATTATTTCCAAAAAGTATTTAACATAAAGTATGCAATGTGAAGGACAAGAATAAAGTACATGTATATCGTGCTTTTATGCATACTGTTAAAACTATAATGTTTCTAAAACTCGTGGACTTACAGCCTTGAAACAATACTTGAAGAAATCATTCAACTTTACAATGGATCTAAGTTAATACAACGAATTGTTAGGAACATTATTCTATTTATAATGATTGACTGACAAGGTACACCTTCTTGGCACTCGTGCCTTTGGAACGAGGACTCTCTGAACCTATCTAACATACTTCTAGATAATTCGATGCTCTCCTCTCAATTGAGTTACACGTTAATGGTTCACGACTTAGTTATGGAGGACATACGACAGTTTAGTTATAGAAGAGTACAGTTCATTTTGCGTTACCCCCGATCGTTCATGACCTCTATCATCATTTCATCACGCAGCGTTCGTGAGCACACATTTATCACGTGCAAGGAAATTCGTCTATTTTTCCCTTATCACGTGTAGATTCAAGGATTTTGATATCGTTTGACGTAGACGTAGGAACGTGAAAACTAATATTTACATGTTCTATCACTGTTCTTTTTTCAATGAAGAATGATCATAATTGACCAATGATCTCGATAAATATTGAAAACTACACCACTGACTAATTTATTCCGGAGTGGAAAGTACACGTAAGTCAAGCGTGAAACGTCACGTTTCCGGAAAAATGTAAAACCATGTCAGCAATTATCTGAAAAGACAACCGTGCTATGACTGTGGGTTTTCTGCTCGACTAAATGTCGCGTGTACCAGTGTCCGTAGGAAAATTGTCCTGGTGCCAACTTGTCCAAACGACAAACAATTCGTCGAATTCGCGGCTATGACTCAACTTACCTAGGAAAATATTTTCCTAGACAAGAACATGCGAATATAAAATCTTTGTTTCCTTATACCGTGAACTTTCATGATCAATCACGAGACAAACGTATGACAGGAGCACTCATTAACAAAGCTACGTTATGCAACTGCAGTTGCATAATTACAGTCCAATTTTCTCATTGTAAAAGCTGTATTATTACTTTCGATTAACTGCACGTGGCACTAAATATTCTGATCATAGATAAGCAAGAAAACTGCGAAAATTGTTCGAAGCTGAACCAATGCGATTTTATCTCTACCCATCTCACGGATCGGGCTATGATGTAATTTGACAGGTCAAAACTTTAATGATCTATCATTTGCCAACTGAACGTAATGACTTTGCGACTGAACACGAGGCTGGGTAGCCGTTTTATTAAATGGCAGCGAGAAACAAATGTGGACTTTGCTCGGCTACGCTCGGATCAAGGGAAAGAGAGGGTCGAGATAGTAATTGATGCAAACATCTTTTTGCTGCTCGCGTAATTACAATAAAATAGACAAAGCTTGCAATCTTTCATAAACAATCGTCATATGTTTGCGTGGATCTCCGTTTGAATGTACCGCCGTATTATACGGTTGTCTCTTTTGCGCGTAATAAATATCGAAAAGATCTACCCGGAAACCACAATAACTGCTTCGGCGGTACAATTAAGAATTACGTGACAAGTTATGACAGTAATTTACGAGATGTACGATGTCGTTGGATCGAAGTAGGCTAAGGGAGGGTTCCAAAAGTGGTCCGTCTAATTCCAATCAAGAATAATTGTACCTTTAAAAAGGGTATCGTCCCTCTTCGGTGTATCCCTCTAACAACTAGCAATTTGAAACATATTACGTAAACAAACATGTCTGAAAAACAATACGATAATGACCTAACCAGAGAACGATAACATTTTACGATTCGAAAACAGTAAATGTTTTCCGCTCGAAACGAAAAGAAAAATTCTGTAAAAAAGTCATTTTGTCCGGGGATTCGTTCTGTTTTAATAAATATCAACGTATTGTCGGCAAACGCGAACACATGCAACGTATTCCTAACGCGATTACTATACACAAGTAGAGGGGTCAGCGTATCGTTGATTGGTCGGTTCCAACAGAGGGCGCCTACAAAGTCTGGGTCGATGTTGCTAAAAGCTGCAGCGGATGAAGAAACATCAGTCGCTGGAACCTCCTCGAATAGCGTGCAGTCGTTTCCACGTTAGAGGCACATCTGTACTCCATTTATCTTGTAGCAGACCTGTGCATCCATAACTGTGATACAGTCTACTAGTCTGTACGAAGAATTTCGAAGGATAAACCCAGCTCGAAGATCCATTTAGCCGAAGCGCCGAAGGAGGAATTGCCTAGCAATTTGATCGAGTGTTCCAAGTGAAACCACATTGTTTTGAACCTGAAAGGGGTCAAACGAAGAAGCAAGAGAGGAATCGTTCTAAATTTACGTGTAAATAATCGGAGCAGAGAGGAGACGAAAAGAGAAGACCGGCGTGTGAAGAAGAGACGGTGGGGCAGCACCGTGACTATGTAAACTACCAGCAAATATTCTGTGTGAGCGCGTGCGCATAACGGAGTAACCCATAGCGGCAACGTTAGAAGCTACGGTGAACAACGTGGTCAGGAAGATCGAGGACAACGAATAATAGGCTAAGTAAATTGTGGGAAATAAAGGGTGAGGGTTACACGAGGATAGGTAAACCGAGGGTAGAACTGGGCTTCTCTTCGACCAAAGACAAAGAAGCTCGCAAACTGGCTCCAGAGGTGAGGATCAAGCAAATTGGAATGAGGGAGGACCTGTTGTCCATAATACGGCACACGAGCAGCGATCACTTTTCGGAAGAACTTTAGCCGAAGAGTCAACGGCAGAAGGAGGAGAACTAGCAATAGGCCACTAACTGTTTACGAGTATAATTCCGTACAAATAGAGGGCTCTTGCTAGCTTGGATATCCAACCGAAAAACGTTGCCAGGCATCCTTTCATCCTTCCTGTCATTGATTCCGTTCTACCTGCTGGTCGGCCCTGATTTTCCCCGGAGGAAAATAAGGAAGACCTTTCGAACAAGTCCATTCATTTGGTTATGCCCTGGGCTGCCGCCTGCTTTGACCTGCTGGCGGCTCCAATATTTGGTCATTGTCTCTCCGCGAGGAAGCTCCCATTGCAAGCCGCCATCCTCCAAGAAGGAAGCGACGAATCTATCATAACACTGGCAGCTAACGCGTCCAACACGTCGGGCATACGGAACGGCAACTCTTTGAGCGCTGACACCATGGCTCCCAGTGTGGAGGAACAGCGTCAAGGTAACTAGAAGCGTGAGCCATACACGTGTCTTTTTCAGTCTACTCTTATTTGCATGGTAGAGTCACGCGTACGGCGGGTTCGACGAGCAGTCTTGTCGCAGTTTGCCGCTTCTTTGTTGTTGTCTAAGAAACGATGTCGCCGATGATACCTTGAGCATTATGCAACGCGAACGTTCGTCAACGAATATTGCATAGAAATGCGGTAAACAACACGCGCCCGAGATAAACAGGAAATTCGTGCTATATCGCGCTCGTTTCTGATCTGCATAGAAGGACGTTCGATGCAAATTCTGCTAGAAACTAGGTCATGGTTCCGTAAACTAGGACCCGACGATAAAATTATAAGCATCGCTATAAATACCGCCGAATGTAAATAGATTTTTCGTGTCATCGCCGATCGCGATACTTGAAAATTTGCACGCTGAAACGCACGAAATATCGGTGTTTGTTTTTCGAGCTTCAGACGTCATTTCTAGAGGCAGATAAGTCTGTTGTTCCAATTGGAATAGAAAAAGCGAGAAAATGATGCAGTAGGCCGAGGAGGGTGAGATGCACGTTCTTTGTACACTTGTCGCGCTTTTATCTCTAAAGATAAATTTATCAAGAGGTAGCACAATAAACTTGAATAAGCGAGGTCTCTCCGAACACTAGCCTGCATTGATGAAGCGTATCTTCAACTTTTATCTGCCTTCTGTCAGACCAATCGTTACACGGGTGCACGGAAAGACGCCACGGTTTTTCTTCCGCGATAACTTGTATCAATGAAAAACATTGACGCGAGTAAATTGCATAAAGGAAAGCGATTATGGTCGGTTAACAATGGTGCACTTAATGAAGGCAATTGTCTCAGTGCATGTTCTAGACTTTTGTCACTTTGCAATTCTATTCTGCGTGTTAGGAATTTTCTTTTTATTAGATCTTTATCATTTTTTCTAACTTTTGTTTGTTCGATAGAAGGAACATTCATAGTAACGTCCGCAAATTATTTCTAGCACAATAAATGAAAAGTCATCATACGGTTGTTATCGTAAACATTTGAAAGTATTCCAAATCTCATAAGCATTGGATTACAGAATATTAATCCCTTATAAAGGGCTCAGACACATATGTCAAAGTCGGATTTCGTGTTACGTATCTATCAATAAATCATATGAGTTAATCCGTTGGATTGCTGACACTACAGAATTAATATGTCCAATCACTACATCGTTAAAAATTATCTGCAGACGATACAACGTTACGATACCGGCTACATAATACATAAATTAAAACTAGACAACTGTACTAGTATCGATAATACGAGGGTATCGGAGTTTGAATGTCAACACGTGTGTCGGATTCACGAGGGGGCAATTAAGCGGTTGCGCCAGGTAGAATATAGATATCGTACATCGTGTGATTAAATTTGTAATCTAATCAACCTCGAAACGTGAAATCATTCGAGATAATGGTTTCTCTGTCATTCGTAGTAACGTGGTATGTAGGCATTCGTCGTCCTGATGTTTACCTCGAAGATAAAACGTGAAAGGAGTGAATACAAGTAGTAGAAACGACGGGGGAAAATAAGAAAAGGAAAAGGATCCTACCAAGGATATCCCATGCAAGATATTATTAGAATCGCTTGTGAAACGCACAATTGCAGTTTGCGTATAGTGTGTTGCACACATGCTAATAAGTCGAGAGACACCTTCCTATACGATCGGGAGGCGTGAACCTTTGTGGCTATAGTCGCTGCACGTTCGCTGGCTTTCACCGCAAGCCGATTATTTATACGCTATATATAAATACCACAATGCAGTCGGGTTCACGCACGAGTCCCTTTCTTTCTTTTTTAACGTCAGTTGCATTTAGTTTATACACTGTGTCACCTGATCACGGTGACAGGGAATGATTCCGCAATACATCGACCGACTATACTTTGTATTTGACGCAAATAGTCATTCAAGTAATGAATTAGGGAATTCTTAATAACCTCCCACGCATTTGGCAATATTGACATATTTTCTGTTCCATCACGCTTTGATATTGACGATATAAACTTAATCAAGTTTTCGGCTAATATTCTTCGATGATTTTGGGATTCATTTTTCTTCACAAATTGAAGAAGTTATCTTTTTTCTTATGCACAAATTCAATATCAGTGTTGTTCCAACGTTATATTCTATTCGATAACACTTTATCAGCCTTTTTACGGATGTTCCAGTTCTTTATCAGTTATTTATCTATGTAAACTGTTTGAGCTGTCTTTGTTATCGGTTTAGTTACTCTACATCTATATTACTTTTGTACTCAAAGAGTCTTCAAGCATTGTAAGGATTGTGTTTATGTAACTTTATTAATACAACAACTCAAATTAGATCAGGCTTGAAAATATGAGAGTTTAGAAATTCGTATCATACGTAGTACATCTCTTCAACCCTTATTTTTGAAGTTCGCCCTAGTTTCTGTCCAGTTACGTCAATGCTTACGACTCCCATTTTCTTTAATGGAATACACGTGTCGGTTCGAGTCGCATCGTTTCTTCTGATGCAGGAGAATGGAAGGTCCCCAGACAGGGATGATTATCGATTTTCTACGACTGACCTTGTTTTAGCCATCGCGTAGGGAGGAAAGTATACACGTAGGATTGCACGGTTGCAAGTCGAATCATGAATTCTTTATCGATCCCAGATAAATTTGCACCGTCAACATTTTCCGAAGTTAGAACATCGTTGAATTTTTTCCTGCACGTTTCTAGATCTTACGGTGAACTCTATCCACAGAACTTTGAACGCTTAACGTGACACGCAATGTAAGTCAACCAGTTATGATTTGTTACATAACGACGGAAAATGTTAATTACTTTCATACGATTCCGCACGATGAATCGATATAAACGACATACAAATGCAAGCAACGTGACAACCTCACACTGTACACGCGTGCGTGCGCGTGCGAGACTATAACAATTTAATGCTTGAATAATGAATCGGATGACAGCACGTCTCAGGTCAACGGACGGACTATTAAACTACATTTAACATTGTTTTAGCAGAGGGATTCTTGTTACGTAGCATCATCCTCGATATCGGAGATGATTTCGATCGCGTTGCCTTCTACATCGGATTCGATCGTTAATTGAAACGCGAAACTTCCGTTCTTTGCTTTGTAATTCAAAGTCTTCCAGCCGGATAGAAATTGCGAAGACGAGAGCTTGAATAAGCTCTTTGATCCCAAGATCATGAGGTCTAATTTGTAATTAATTTTGTTGACGTACCACATCGCTGCCAACTAAGATACGTGACTAAAGAAGACTGATAATCGCGAATGACGAAATTGTTGACTACGAGAACAGTGAAACTCGTGACTTGTGAAAATCTCCGATTATTCGCGAGTTCGAAACGTATCGACCTTTATCGGTTCCAAAACACGATTGCTGAGAACAGAGCTGTGCCTCGAGCTTCCAGAGCCTTGGGCAAAAGTTTATTCCGATGTAACTGTTGTAAATTGAATGAGGACTATGCAGCGCTTGAAGCTTAATAAATTCTAAAACTTTTTTATCTGAAAATTTAGGTGGTGGACATTTGAAGAATTTCTACGCTTAAGAATTTGTGATTTCGAAAATTTCTACAATAAAAAATCTGTGATTTTGAGAATTGCTACTAATCAGAGTTTGACTTCGAAAATTTCTGAACTTGAAAAATAAAAAAGTTGAAGCACGAAGAATCTTTGGAGTAAAAATATATCTCGATAAGCTCATTCAACCATGTTATCGCAGGAATTTTGACGAGTATAGATATGTCGTTGTCATTTTGTCCCCCTTTTCAATCTTATCTTGTAAATAACAGGCCAATTTTAGAGTCGTAAAAGTCCCCGATTTTTGCATCATATATTTGGAACGAAGACGTTTGGTGTATTTTAGACCGAGTTCCGAACTTTGCACGAAACGCGGCGCGTGCTGTTTCACGGAGGATGCATTCGGGGTACATCACTGTTTTTGAGGTTACTACCTCGAACGAAGTGACTATCGAGAAATCGTAGCCAAAAGCACTCGTGCAAGAGGCGAATTCTAAATATAAAGTTCACCGACGTCCATTCTCAATGTAGTAGCCAACAAAGGCCTCAGTGTTCGTTAGATATTCGAACAGTTAATTTGTGCGAGCAATTCGCACGCTCGCGAGTTAGCCTCGCTAGTGTAACATTGAAACGCATTCAGCATTATCGATCCAACATTGGTTGGAAACTCGAGGGTCGAAGAACGTAGCGATACATTGTAGGAAACATGTGTGTGATCGGTAAGAATAATTCACCTACGGTTCTACACATCGATCGATGTTCGAACAAAGAGATTTAACACACGCCAGTAGAATTTTCGACCCGATTAGATTCATCTACACGATGCACGCGATTTCACGTGTTGCGAAGTCTGTTTCCTTTCTGCGAATCGAAAAACTGCTGTTTACAGTTCAAGGTATCCAATTAAAGCAATTGCTTTTAAAGAATGACTCATAGACTTTCATCGAATTTTGCATAATTTACAATTGAAATTTTTGTATTCATATCGAGTTTCGTACGCATTCGCATTATTGATGATCGAGTGTTAAAATGTTAGCCGAACGGTTTAATCGGCCTATTGCCAAAACTATTTCATCCGACTTCTAAAGTAGAATCGTTGTATAGGGTGGCTCAGATTTTTCCTGATAAAATGTATACTATATCGTGCAGATAAAAATAAGGAAAGGTATAGGTGGTTTGTTAAAGCATTCTATGAAATAGGTAACAAACAAAAACAAAGCATATACTTCCTTAGTCTACTCTGCTTCCTTAGCAGCAGATATACTTCGTTTTAACAAAGACTGCTCTGTTTGGAGTAAGACAATGATGACATTGAACGTCCACGCGAGATCAATGAGAATGTCCCTCCTTACGCAATCACTGATCCGCACAATAATTATTTCCCTGTTTTTTTTCAGAACCCGGTAAGGATAAGATCGCGGTCAGGACACCGGGAATAACGAAGTCACCACGCAAATTTGCCGGGGTGGTGATCGCTATGTGCGGTTTGCCAGGTCGTGGAAAAAGCCAAGTGGCTCAGTGCCTCTCGCGCAGACTCAATTGGAATGGCGATTCTACCAAAGGTGAGAAGTTTTTCTGCCTTTGTCTTTGTAATGACACCTTGATGTGTTCACAAAGTCGTACAAAAAACTTTTTACGAGAGTACATACTTAATTCCCCTTTTTTACTTCTTCTTTTTGATCATAAATCATATACTTTTAAACATAATTTGTTTAATTCATGTTCAGGAATTTCCAGCTTATTAATCCGCGGGTTAATTAAATCACTGTATATATTCTCATATTTTATGTACGTTACGTAACGATTATGAATTATCATGAACGATTCGATTATTTACCGATGCACGTTCTAGAGGTAAACTTATCCTGTCGATTTTTCCTCCAATAGATTATTCTTATTATTGCGTATCGTAAAACTTTCTATTCGTTACAAGTCGGTAAAAGCGAAAAGGTGGAGTAAATGACCTCGTTGCCGGTGTGCGAAAGTCTTAAACATTGCTAAAGTTTTTTGAAGTTCTCGAAGGAAACACTAAATGGAGATTTACATATGGTTTCAGTGATGCGAGTAAGCGAGTATAGGAGGAAAAGATTGGAACCATATGGAGAAGCAGTATCGCATGAGCTATTTCAGCCAGACCATACGGCGAATGCAGCACTGAGAGCTTTGGCTCAACGGGACGCCATGCACGACTGTGCTGCATGGCTTGCAGCTGGGAATTCCGTAGCTGTAAGCATCAATAAATTATGAACGTATTGAATGATTAATGATAATCGTAATCGTAATTGTCAGTCGGTTTAAATCAGCCGAGCGAACGCGTGTGTTGCTTTTGGTTGTCTTCCAAAACTTGAGCGCTCGCAATATATTAACATTAAAAATAAGAAGATATTGTTACCAATATAACGCGTATAACAATAAATCTAAAATGCCAACCATTGATAGTCACTTATCACCACGGTGTTCAAAATGTCAGTCGTCATATTATTTATTTGTCATTTCACTTAAACATACGTGATTCACGCCAGTGACGTTATACGCGAAAACAATACGTATCGAATTGTAGATCACACAATTGATCGCGATCAATGATCAGATTTCGAAGCAGCCTTGAGCATGTTTTGAAGCAATGAACGAGAAAGTGCTCACGATTACTCATGTTTTGGAAAACATCGTTCCAAATTTAGAAGAGAAAGACGCAGAGCGTATGCAGCTTGCACGAAAATATTTCTTCCCTTCGCGTTGGCAAGCAAACGCAGAATCGGTAATGGCGGAGAGGCGATTAAACAGGCCGGTCGAGCCGGTCTCGGTTTGCAAACTACCTTTCTCTGCGCTCGATTCTCGTCGTACGAGTTTTGCTATTTTTTTCGTTATCTTGTCATACGAGGTATTGAACGGTTCGCGACAAAGATCTCAAAGGGTTACGGACTGTCGCCAGCACTTTAAACCCGCGTCCTTTATTTCGAGGCTAGCCACAACACGCAAACTTGTGTACACAGGGTGTCTTGTCAGATATTCAGAACTTTTGGACAAGTCATTTAAGTTATACTAAAAAGAAAACATTAAAATATTAAATTATCGTATTATGAATTTTTTATTTTTAAACACGATAACATAAACGTACCACAAATAGCACGTATATCATATAAATTTGGAATTCAAAGTTTGATAAGAATGCATACGTGAATATTTTATCGATGCAAAGTGGCTGATTGCCAGTTACAACCAACGTAACCGATGTCGAAACCTACTATTTGATGACATAAAAGAACTTCAAAATAGCACTTATGGCATATCAATTTAAAGCTTAAAGTCCGATAAAAATGACCGCATAGATTTCATCGATATTCTTGACACACGGGCGAAATAGACCTATAGTTTCAATGACATTTATTGTTGAGAATAATCTGCTGTACACGTGGGCGACTCTGTATAGAAGATATAAGCGACCTCGATAACCACGGGCGAATGTAACGTGATAGATCGACAACTACATGCAAATTTATATGATCGAACAAGTATTAGCGATTAAATCCACGACCTTCGCATTCTTATCTACAGAGTTATTCAACGTTCGACGAATATTAATTTCGACTAAAGTTGATGCCATCTGAGTCAATAACCTTTTATTACGTTTAACTAGATAACTGATAACTTTGTTTGGATCAAAGACCAACTCTTTCTTTCTCTTTCTCCAACATCGTCATGAATTTAATCGCGAAATAAAACAACGTCATATTTTTTAAATATCAACCTACAGACCGTAAAGAACACGTGTGTTTACGCTGAGAAAGGAACACCCATGTAGTAGCAATAAAATGTGTTTTTCTGTTTAAAGATCCTGGACGCCACGCTGGTGACACGAGCACAACGCGCCGAGGTCTTCGACTACTTTTTCGGGCAGCTCGGTTACCGCGTGCTTTTCATCGAATGCGTCTGCGACGATCCAGTCGTGCTGGAGCGAAATTACAAGGAGATACTACGGTACAGCACCGACTATGTCGGTATGGATCCAGTGCGGGCTCAGGAAGATTTGAGACTCAAGGTAGCTCATTACGTTCGATCGTACGAACCGATGGACGAGAAGAATTACTCGAGGATCCGCATCGACACCGCTACCATGGACATCGAGACGCACAAGGTTTCGGGTCACATCGAGACCAGCGTGTTAGGATATCTTGGAAGCGTCACCGTCATGCCGCATACTCTTTACTTCTCTCGGGTTAGTAACCGATCAATCTTATTTCAAGCCTTCAGGGATTATACCATCTATTCAAAATTATCGGACTACAAACTTGACACTTTCATGATCGCCAGTTTAGCGAAATTCCCGAGATCTATCGATAAAATGGTATTTATGTAGTTCTTATCTTCGTTAACAAGGTTAAGACATTTCATGATATAATCGTGTTTTAAATCGAGAGTGTGCTCAATATTTTTATACGCAATGTGACAAGAACAGTTGATCCAGATCGTTATCGTTTCAGCAAACTTCGTCTAATAAAAGTATTCCTATCTTATCAGTCTCTTCTTCGCGGCGATAGATTTCCAACGATTATTCAACATTATCATTCACTTAACATAAACATATGCTTGTCATTGAAGTATTTAATTGCGTCTTAAGATATCACTCGAGAAAAAATGAATTGTTCTCTTAATTTCAGCACGGTGAAAGCGAGTACAACGTGTTGGGTAAGGTCGGTGGTGATGCCGTGTTGAGCGCACGTGGCGAGAGATACGCTCAGGCATTGGCGACGAAATTCAACGCTATGCGTATTCCCGATCTCCGAGTTCTGACCAGTCGTCTTCGAAGGACTATCGCGACAGCGCGTGGGGTGGAGGCGCCGCAAGAACACGTGGCGGCTCTGAACGAGCTCCATGCCGGAGTTTGCGAGGGGCTTTCATACGAGGAGATGCAAGAACACTATCCACAGGTACATTATAATATTTTATATTAATTAATAAAAGTTTATAGACTTAAGTTTGTCGGAGAACGAGGAATAGTGTTAAACATATCTTGAATCAGCCTTAAAAGCAATAATGTTTGATCCAGGAATTCGCTTGGCGGGACCAGGACAAGCTGCGCTATCGTTATCCTTGGGGAGAGAGTTACGTGGACGCGATGCAACGGGTGGAGCCGGTGTTAGCCGAACTCCAGCGGTCCCACAACGTCCTGGTGGTGTCCCACCAGGCGGTATTGCGTTGCATCATCGGGTTCTTTATGGACAAAAAGCCCGAGGAGTTGCCCTATATGGAGGTGCCGTTGCACACGATCATCCGAGTGAGCAGTCAGGGCTACAATTACAAGTTGGAGTTCTTCAAGTTGCCCATCGAGTGCGTGAACACGACTCGCGTGAAGCCGAAGAACTGCAGCGCCGATAGAACCGCGGATGATGCTCTGCTGACGGTTCCTGCGCATTTCGATATACCGGATCCATGGAGAAATCCTGGTAACGGGCCAACTCTCGTGCAACAGCACTGAGAAACCGCTCGGTCCACGATCACGTCCAAAATTCGATCTCTTTTGGGCTGCAATTTCAGACGATTTCAATAGTTAACGTCTCGCTTGAGTCGGTTTGGATTGGGGAGATCTAGGGGGGATGGCTCGAGGAAGTCGATACGATACCGAAGGGATTCGTTGGGGTTACATTCGTAACGCGTAACTTAAGATATATTTAAGAATAGAACAGCTGTACCGGAAGTTTATGTATCCTCGTAAGTAGACAGAAAGAAACGATTTCGACGAGTAGCTTTAGAGAAAGCGATAGGCTCGAAACGCTTCTATTGGAATTCTAAACTCAACTGTCTTCTACTCGATCGGTTCCTTTCAACGTTTCGTTCGGCTTCTTTCGGTTTGTTTCATTGTCAGTCGTTTCGGTTTTATTCTCCATCGTGTCAGCTTATTTTTTATTGGCAGCGACCCTGTATCCTGCTGCTTGAGCCCTCTATATGTTACGTTTAAGCAATTTAGTTTAAGTCTTTTTTTGGATATAGACGAATAATCGATACCGTGTTAGTCGTGTACCTTGTGTTTCGTAATTGTACCTTTACACGTAAGTGAACAGACTGGCAACTTTGAAACGTTAGGAAATATGGAGCACGCTTTTGTACGCTGTCATGCTCTTTGACAACGAACTTAGTATTCGGAATTAAAATTGCTAATCAAAAATTCCACGAAGCGTGCTGCCGTCAAAATGTTACTTAAATGCACATTGGAACAACGAGAACAGCAACAAATATTTTTAAATATCTTGCTAGATTTAGCGCATAGACCTACGCTCTTTCCTAGTCTATCATACAGATTTTAAACGATGTTAGAAATTCTTAAGAGAACATTAGTAGTTTAGTACTGTACAAAGTTGCCCGTCGATTACACCGATGATATTGTTGTTAACGATGAAACAATGATCGTATTTTAGATTATAGAAATGACGTGAAGCGTCCAAATATTGTATGTGCATTTTTAAGCACACAATCGACGATACTGTGAAACAAATTTTATTATAATTATGACACTACATCCCGAGGTTGACAACTTCCGAAAGTATTCCACGCCTCGGATGTTCTTTTATGTGAGAAGCAATCAGCGAAACACTTACGTGATTCTGTACAGCAGGCTCTCGTTACATCGTCACGTAGGAGCAAAGAATTTTTAATGGCAGTGGATTAATCTGTGCAATATATATTCAGAAATTTCTAAATTTTTCTAAATTTGATATTTCTAATATTGCTCTCTATCCGTACACTGCAACAGTTGCTTGTATGTGTGAAAGTTAATGTGGCAATATAACGAGAGTCTACCGTAGTCAAAGCAATGCAAGAGAAGCGTTGTCTCGTCGATGTGTACTATCGCGTTTCGAGTAGATCAGCTATCTCGTAGACGATATAAACGTGCATAATATTTCGTTAGGCATCGCGTGAAGATCCTCGAGGATTCGTACCGAGTATAATAGCTTCGAGGATCCACGGATGCAGAATGTTCTAATCCGGAAGCGATAAAAACGGAAGAGAAAATACGCGAATCATACGGAGTCTATTTGTTAGAACGAAGAGAGCGATTTATTTTTGATAGAAGTTAAACGCGTCCGCGTCCCGAGCATCGCTTTTGCCAGATTTTCGTGATTGAACGACGAAAATTATCTAGTCGGGCGTCGATCCATTGGCGAACATTTTGACATTCGTTTTATTTTTTATCATCTAAGGGACAAAATGAAGTTAGCGAAGCGTATAGACGTTTAAGTCGTATCGTAGATACCTTTTGTTCTTTTCTCTTTTTTTAAATTGTACATTATGAATAAACGTTTTCTTTTTTTACAAAAGATCGCAGTCTTCTCTATTTATACTCTTCCACAAATAAATATTATATAAGTCGTTATTCGCGCCATACATTTAATTTTCAGTAACACACAACACGTTCACACGCATACTATATTCGTAGAAAAATAATTTGCAGTTGGACCTCGTTGTTATTAATACTTAATGACTCATGTGCATGACTAGAGCGATTCTTAAGACAACAACTGTTGACAAGTCTGACTAGAACTAATTGAAAAGAATATTTAACATCGTGCTTAATTATAAACGCTTTAAAGACCTCATCTTTGTTCCATGGTACGATCTACCAAAGCTATATAGCCGATCTCATTAATTTAGCGGTGTAATCTCTTTGCTTGTTCGCCAAATGAAGATCCAAGCTTCTCAGCATCCTATCACGGATTTCCTGGTCGTACGAAGATCCAGTTTCCTTCTTACGAGCACCTCTCAGCAGACCAGTCCTACGGTGAGCGATTCTTGGCTCGTTTCTTGAATAAGTACCCAAACGAAATCCAGGATAATTCGCCGGCATGTCCTTTCCCGTTTCACGAACTGCGTGCTTCATGAAATCCACGGCAGCTCGACGACAAGTGTCATACCCCAGAAGTTGGATTCTTTTGCCGTAGATCGCGTCGAGCTGAGAATTTCTCGGCTTTGCCACTTTGTCGATGATGTTTTGAACCGATTCAGGCGTTCCGGGCAGATCTTCGAACACTTTGCGCAGCACTTCTTTTGTCAGATCTTCCTCGCTGCTGGATTCACCTGTAAAGAATTTCCTCGATAATAATTCTTGAAACTTTGCTCGATCAGTAAGTTTCGTCCCATAGAAGTTTTTCTCGATACCAATACACTCGAGTACGAACTTGCGATTCTACGAAAGTTTAGAAACGCGTCGGAGAAACCAGATGGAAAATTGATGGAATAAATTAGTGTTACCGAAATCGCTGGTGTGGTCCGTTGTGTACGTTCCTTCTTTGATCTCTCGTTGCAACTCCAACACTCTGGCCAACGCCAATTGCAGATACTCCCTCGCGTTTGGCTCCTGCGTAAACATCGCAAATGCACGCTATTTAATCGCTTTATCAGACAGCACTTTAGATTACCAGACATCGATAACATTTCTTTAGTGATGGGCTACTTCTAATATAAACTTCCTGATAATACCATAAGCCACTCGATGAAATTGTACGATATTATAACTGTACGTGTATAGACAGAAAGAGGCAGAGTAATGTGGGAGTTTGTATAATGTATAAAAACTGTTCATCGTCAAATTAAGATTAGTTGGAAGTTTCTTAATAATGTAAAGCATCTGAAAAAGCTTTTGGCGAATCTTGAATCTTAACAGATATTGTCTCCGAAGTATCAGCTTCGGAACTTTTTAAACTTTTCAGATTCCATTGAAATTTGAAGCGATTAAAACTTTGAGTATGCTCGAGTAGCTTAAAAACTTATTCATCGTTGATAACTCTGCATAAAAGTCTATAACAAAAATGAAATTCACCTCGAGCGTTTTCGCCTTTTTGTGGTCGCCAGTGTCATCCGCCAAACAAGGTGCCTGTATCAAGTAATGAAGCAGTTAAACATATGCCGGCACACGAAAGGTTTCAAACATCGAACCTACCGAAGAATATCTCTTCATCTTCGCTGTGAGATCCTACGAAACACAATTGCACGACATCGACTCACGGATAAAAATATCACCAACTATATCACGGTAAGAATTTCTTCGTCTTGAATGTTGTAGGCACCACGGCTGAGAATAATTCCGTACCCTCGTCCAGACGCACACGGTTCGTTGGAGCATTCGTTCTAACGTTTCCAGATCAGAGTCACTTACCACCCACGCTAATGGTCTCTTTGTTCATCAACTATTCCGTTCGGGAGAGAAATTCCTCCTACCTCGCCGAAACGCTGTTAAGAAACGACCGTTGAATGGCGTCGATCGGCGTCGACTAGCCAAATCGTGACGGCTCTTGCCATGGGAGACCGATGCGAGGGTGACGGTTTGCCATGGCTTCACCCCCTCTACCCTCCTTTGTAACCCTTGGAAATGTGCCCCTTACACCGGTCTCCCCTGCAGATGCGGACTGGCATTATGCCGGGCACCCCTGTTTGCTCGACGCGTGCCCCGTGGCCGATAAAAGCCGCCGTCACGCGCCCCTCGCTCGAAACTTGCCTGGAATACGTTACAAGCCCGAACGGTCACTACCGAACACCGTTTATTATCGTTTCCACTATTGATAAACCTTTTTTGAAGCCTGCTGCGATCGATTCTTGCATAAAAGCGCAATGCTTCTGCGTAATTATTGTACTTCCAAAGCAGTCAGTTCGCTAATTTATATTTCCTACTGAGCAAACTTTCGTCTGTTATTTCAGCAACTTCTAGGAACTTCCCCATTACATGGTCCCCGTAGAGAGGGTGACACAAGAGGACAAAGTATTAAAAGAACTGCTTCCTGCGGCAATAAAAATTCTCATTAGGTTTCTGCGGGGGTAAAACAAGAAGCCTTCGAAAAGCAAGGAAAGGACTCGAAGATTATTTCGCAACGAAGAATCTTCGTTTATTTGTCGGAGCTTCTGCACGATCGGATAGAAATAATAAACACTTCATTCAGATGAAACGAATTTTATTCCAGTCATAAGTCACCCTCGCATTCGATACAAAGTCGAACCACGTATCGATTCCGTCGCTGCGTGGCCTAATTACAGCAACAATAGGGGTTGCTCGAAGACGTCCAGGCGTTATCTGAATGACGCGACGCGAACGTCTATAACGCGCGGAAACGCGACGCTATATCCTGTTAGGGTGCTACACGTCAAACAGGAATTTCCGATTACAAGCGAAGAGGACAAGGTCTTCGTACAGAGGACAATTAATACAGTTCCTTCTGTTCGACGCTCTAATTAAATCTCACCGTGCGATTCAATAACGCCCGGGATCTTCCCACCCCTCCTTATTGCTTCGCTTCGTGGCTTTCATTCTTCCAAGACCGACGATTAGCAAGACGGACAGGCAAGAAAAGACGGAGAAAAATGGATTGCAACGATATTGACAGACTGCGGTGAATTAATTCGCCTTCCATCGCGACTGGAGTGACGGATAATTGCTTGCCGGTAAAGAACTCTTTGTGAAAGTCGGCGAGTATTCTGCGATCGATTTCCGTCAGCACGCGCTCTTTGCGATCGACCTCGATGCTCGATCTGACGATTAGTCAAACGGTGCTCGATGATTCATTGAAATCGATCTGCGACAGCTGTTGCGAATACATGAGTCTGGCTGTTAAATAACTAGCGAAATAAACATAGTTTACTCTAAGTATTGCACTTTACACCTTGCTTCGTAAGAAGAGGAAACCTCTCTATCAGCTAAAAATACGTATGAAATGTCCACTTGAGACTCGAGCGAAATCAATGAAGTTAAGTAGAATTAAATTTATTCGCGAGGTGTAAGAGCTAGTAGATAACGACTTCTCCACCATCTTTTTATGGTATACAGTTCAGTTATTTAATAACCAGACCTTGTATCTCTTGAACATTTTCCGTGTTCCTTATCTTCGTAGTCTTCCGTGTCAACGGTTTCGTTTTAAGGACGGTCTTCCTTAATAAAGGCGATCTTGGTGTCCTTACATACTCGAGATACGTAGCACAAAAACTCCGTTAAAAATCACGCGATATATTAAAATTTGCAAAGGAGACAATTGCAAGAGACAATCAAATTCTCCGTGTTTCGCGGTCTCTACACACAAGCATAGTAGTTTGAACATTTAGCATGAAACTATCTTACATTTTAGTGATGGTCCCCGATTATCGACGGCATCTGCAACGATCAGGGTCGATGTCTTCTACGTCTTCTCCAAAATTTCCAGACGTTACTTACGATCTAAATCTCAAGTTGTATCTTCGTCTCCCAGCTCGACGACGGCCGTGGAGTACAGATCTTGCGTGTTCTTTGGGATCGTGGAACTGAAGCTGGTTTCGTAAAGGCCTCCTCTACCGATTGGTCTTCTTTCGGAATAAGTCACTCCGCGATTTCCATACTGATTCCAGTTCATCGTTTCCGTTCGCCCGACGCTCGAGCTTCTCTTCGATAGACGACAGCAGAAGTGTTCGTTGAACCTAAATAAAAAACCTCGAATACTCTTTTAAGTACAATTAACTTCATGTCTTCAATGTTCGTTAATATTAATTTACTTGCCTCTTTCGAAATGTCCCGCTGATGAAGTAAAGCGCGATCGGGTTCACGCAACTGTTGATGAAACTCAGACAAAATCCGACGATCCTGAATACGTGCCAAAAATAGTCATAGTCCTGTTCGGATGACGGGTAAAAGTGGAACCACAGCATGAACATGTGATATGGTAGAAAGCATATGACGAAGATAATTACGAAGGCTATCACCATCTTTCCGACCTGTCGATCATAGCAAACGAGCCACGCGTTAAACTGGCGCAATCGATTGACGGATTAATTGAGTGTTCTGTTTGCATCGTTTCACCAGACTCTTCACGCGATATATGCAGAAAATGCGTTTTCACTTTCGATCTGATTTTACCGTTTCGGGATAATACCGAGTCTCTTTACTTTACTTTCCTTGAAAAATAATGGTTCTAAAAATTAAAATCGTAGATAAGGAAACTAATTTTCTCACGAGAATAAAAAGTAAAAGGATAGAAATTGATTATTCGAATCGTAATTCCAGTTATCTAGAAATGATGTATTATCGCAATATTCCACGAACGGACGCTAAATTGCACGTAAGTCGATGGATCGGTATTTGATGAAAATACAATAAAACCGGAGACGTGGCCTAGGTTATCGAAACGGATTCGATAACGGCGAATATACGTGACAAGTCGAGAATCAACGAGGAAGAACACAGTTGTGGAAAGTTTCGTGGTATCTTCCTTGTCACGCTCCGATGCCGCTCTCCATCGGATAATTCGAAGCAAATATAGAGCATCGAATTGATCGGAGAGCAACATTTAAGGCGTACAATAACGTGACTGATGCTACCACAAAATGGCAGCCTGGCAGAGTAGTTTCTTTGCTACTGAAATAGAATTACTTCAAACTGTACGGAATCAACGATGCAACAGACAAGGTATGGCTCGTCAGTGTTGAGTACTCTTCGCTTTGTTTCGCAAAACAACTTTTATGATACATACCATGTGCCATAAGCATTCTTCAAAACTTTTCACAAAGAGTAAATGGCTGGTAGAAGTAAAAAGAGACCAGCTTGAACTTTTCAATAACAGAAGTTTACCTGCTTGAATTTTTATAGGAATTTATCATGTCCACAAAGTTTGATCAAAATTCTAAGGTGATTTTTTCTTACAATTGTTTATTAAAATTTAACAGGCAGAATTTTTTGGTTGAGGTAGATATTTGTATTAGTTGAAAGTTGATCTGCAGCGATCGAGTGTCAGTGTAAGTGATAGATTGTGCCAAGGTTTTAGCAAGTTCTTCGGTGTAATTTATAATTATCGTTGTTCGAACACGTCCTTCGATTAATGGATCGAACTTAAGTATCGGTGCAAGTGGTTGCTCGATCTAATTAGAGATCGCGTGCAGATTGCGCAAGCATAGTTGGTAAATGCATCGACGATTTGACTTTCACGCTACGCGATATTCGCCTTGAAAGAACAGAAAATTGTTACCGAAACTCTGACTGATGGTTATCGAATTTAACTTGGATTCGATCAATCATTTGACAGTGTATTTTCCTTGACATCTTTCTGAACAGTCGAATTTGAGTGATTGCCATTTAACGAAAATATCGATCAAGTCGGTTCCAAATTCATTACTATGATGCTACGTCCCATTTAGTAACCATTGATGAATGTTTCCAAATGAAATTATACATTAAAGGATTAAAAATGTATTAAGCTACCTTTCTGCGTGCTTTAATTTGTTCCATACGATGGCTGCTACCGCTCGACTGTTCTCCAGGCATGTTCTTCGTGGATAATTCAAGGTGTCGTGCCATTCCCAGATAAAATCCCGCTATCACGCACAGCGGTATCGCGTAATATGCCAGGAACTTGAACATCACCATTCCTCTTTGATAGCTTTTCCCTGTGATACGTAATGAGAAACAAGAGATTCGCACGGCAGACCAATATGTCTGTACTAATATGTTCGTCTAACAATACCTATACACAAGCAAATATAATTTTCAAACGTCCAGTATGAGCAAATTAATTAAGCTTGAAAACGAATCTAAAATAAAACGTTGTACGACGTAGCGAAAATTGGTTTAGCCGATCTAATGGGAGAAAGAATCGTACTCACCAAATTCTTTGGGAAATGGACTACAAATCAGAATACTGTGGTTACCATTTAACGGTACAGTCGGTACGTGAGAGAAAAGTGCAGCTGGCATTGCCAGAATTATCGCCAACACCCAAATAAGGATAGCTGTTAGTATCGTTAATGGTTTCGCGCTCAATCCTGCTACGTGGCGTCGAATTGGGTTTACGATGGCGCAGTACCTGAAGTACAAAACAAAATCTTATTTTCGGATCGGAAGCTTCGAATTCGATTACAACGGAAAGCGTGAAAATGGGGATATTGGAACGACGCGACAAATAGCTGATTAACTTTTTACAATCTTCTATGTTTACTGAACGAAATTCGGGATTAAGTGTACTTTAATTTCCTCGATTGTAGGTTTTACTGAAAATGAAGCGCGTTACAAATTTATCGCCGACCTTCCGGACGAATCTTTATAGGGGTGGCAGGTGTCCATGGAGATTTTCTTAACGACTAAACGAAGATTTAGAACTTTGTTCGGATTACTGATTATACGATCGAACAAGCAGCTGATTGGTCCATTAACGGGGAACAACTTCCTGAAAGTTACGTTGACTAACCTACCCCCGAAACAACAATTTCCTCGGTCGTAACTGGGTTTGATAACTTACCTCTCGGCTGATAACGCGGTCAGAGTGAAAACTGAGACACCGATCGAAATATCCTTGGCGCACTCTGATAATTTGCAAACTGCCAGACCCCACGGCCACGACTCGATCGTGTACAGAAGCGATGTAAACGGTACACACGTCACGATCACCTGTAATAAGCGATAGATACGCGTACTGTAACAAAGGAAAATTCATTTCGCTAAATATGACGTTTATGATGGGAAAGAGCGATAAATAATATCCGTCGCTTCAATTGGAGCCAATAATGATTACTGAAATTAGATGCAACGTCGATATTTCATTGTTTTCAGGCACAATTGAAACTGAAACGCACACATTCAATAGGACTCTCGTTGATATATCAGCAGCACATTGTGAACTTTAAAGTTTTGCTTCGAGGGGGTTTATCCATTATTAACAAAGATTAAGCTTACTAGTTAAGAGAGAGTTACGTGGAAATTTCATTTCGGAATTCGGGGATTTGCAAAGTTGAAATTGGGGATTTTAGAAATGTAGAAATTCAGGAATAACTATGGGGATTTGTGAGTTGCAAATCTGAGAATTTGGGTACTTGTAAATTCGGGGATTTTGGAAATTTTTAGATTAGAGAAATGGACGTAAATTTCTTTCTTACCAGAAGATCTCCCAAAGCCAAAGAGAGCACGTAAGTATTCGGGACATTTCTCATGTTGGCGTCACGCAGAAGGGTGAGTACCAAAATCCCATTTCCGGTTACACCCACCACAAGTATTAAGAAGAATACTACAGGTACAATATAGGTTTCTGGTCGTTGATCGTATGGAACATAACCGTCGTCCTCGTCGTCCTCGTTTCCAACGTTGGGGAACGACGTGGAGTTTAGAATCACCGCCATCTGCGATAGCGAACAAAAATTTCCCATCCTTGTAAGCATTTCGTCGAAATTCGCAGTATATTAAACCACGGTACAGAATTTCGTTCCGCGACGTAGGATCGTTGCCAACAAATTTATGTATCTTTTGGTAAAAAGTTTGCGGTGCAGGAAATCGAAATGAAACAACTGGTTGGAAAATAAATGTCTCGGACGAAGGAAAGTACGTTGAAACTTTAGCGAAATAGATTGTAACATATTGCACGATTTAATTAGAAAAAATATACTAGAATTTCTTGTTAAATAAGGATCTTTTCTTCTTTTCTTCATAAATCCTATTTTTTTTACTTACGTCCAATTTCACTTTGTTAAAAAAGCTTGTCATAGCTCTTATTATTCTAGTAAATATAATTTTATCAATGATCTGTTAGATGTAAAAATAAATACATGTAAAATTGCAGAGAACAGAATGTTAGTTTAATTCATACTGAAATATTGTCCTTTTTTCGCAGTTATTTACCGATATCCAAATAACGTGGATTAAACAAAATTCCAATAACTTTATTTTGCGGATATTTTGATTCGCCAGCAGTTGTCGGTCAGTATGCAGGATGGAATTGAAGCGATAGCATAAAACAAATATCACGTTCCAGAAGTAATTGCAATGTATCCGATTCCAACGTTTAAACTTGAAACATTTTGCAGTCGGTGAAAATTCGAGTGTCCGCGTATACCCAAACCCACGAAAACAAAATAAAATAAAAGCGATAGTCAGCGATGCTCGGTGAACATTTTAGTTGTGTTTTGCTCAAAATATACCGTTTCGGAAAGAATGTAGAGGCGATAAAACAACTAGCAAAATACGAGTTGACTTGTAAACCAGATGAACTTTTCTGCACCAAAAAGTGCACGATAACTTGCCTGGAAATAACTTCCACAGTCATAGACGCTGGTCGAGAAATTACATTTTGCAAACAGCGTTTTAGTTTCAACCCTCAACAACGACGAGAAGGTTCAGCGTGCATTTTGAGAATGGAGAGATAAAGGGAATGAAAGAAATAAATCCCCTTTGAGATAATATCATGTTGCAAAAATCGACTTCCGTGGGAAATACGTATTCTAAAGCATACATTAAACATGGAGTATGTAAAAAATTTAAAAATTACCCAGTCGTTTCCTCTACCTTTTCATTTCACAATACTTTCACGATGCTCTCAGGTTTGCATTAGAAAAATTGAAGTTACAGTTTTTTCCGTAATTCGTGATTTTGAAAAATGTTTGTCGACATAGAAGTTATTCTCCATTTCGCGAGGCTTAATTCACGAGACGCATTCACGTTGCATCGCTGCTTCTTTCATGGTAACGCGTGAAAAATGTCACAATCGTGCACTAATTTTCTATACAATTTCTCTTCATTCGCTCCGTATTTTTACGATATGAATAAATTCCTTCGCGCCATCGCGAAAAGGTTTCTCACATTTTTATCCCTTTAATCCGTCGCAAGTTTGAAATCCACCCTTACACGAGGAGTACCTGTTTTTGTATGCATCGCTTTTTGAATATAGTAAATGGACTAGTCGTGTATTTCGCGGTCTTCTTTTTTTACTGAACAATTTTGTAAAAGGATAACCTAAAAATGCATAGGGAAGGCGGATGCGTTACGACGGTAATATTACCCGGAAATTAAACGAACTGCATTCGTATCACCTTCTTTATCTCTACACGTCGATGGAAAGTACTTTATTTCGAAAAAAAAGACCAAACCTTCAACGCCACGGCTCCGTTTTTCATTTCATGCCATTCTATCGATGACTTCTTTTGTCCGGCGAAATCGGTATATCGCTATCTGTCTGATAGCGAATCAGAGCACAATGGAAATTAATCAGATCGATATGCAGTACTTTTGCAGTTGAATCAAACCTTCTATAGCTCGAAACTTTTTCGAGAATTATTTCTTTGCACTCGTGACAAGTGCACTTTCCGTTGTTGCTAAATAAATTTAGAGAAAAAAACTTTCGAAAGGAGCTCGTTCTCTTAAAAATACATACCGTGGGTTAAATGCGCGTGCAGCTTTCACGAGCGACTTTAACTCCTCTTCCCGTGTTTCGGAAGTTGACAGCTCTCCATAAGAGTTTCTCAGCCCGTAAAGTTATTGACCTATTTCGCCAGAACAAAAGCGAAGAGCAACACCTCGTACAGCATTCCGCGTTGCAGTGATTGAAAAATAGAATCGTTTGCTCTCGGTGTTACATGCCTCCAATTTCCGCTTTAGCACACTTGTTGCGACGCTATTACGGCCGCGTATCGAGCGATTTCATGTATCTTATCTTCGCTCTTTACAACTTCGTTTTCCTGTTTCGACTCGCTTTATGGGACTTTAATGCGAAGTGTTCTGCCCCATGAATCATTCCTGAATTTTATTCAAGTTTTATGAATGAACGTAGGGAAATCGAACGACAGGAAGCGTTATCTTTCCGTATAAAATATGTTCAGTAATAAACGATGATTATTGCGAATTTAATCGTCTTTCACGTTACGTGTCTGTGTACAAAACTTAATCAGCATTATCGATGATGGTTTTTAGGAAATTGTTTATAACAACATTTCGTATTAATTTTATTGCAACAGATTCCATATTCCCGATGTACGTTGACGCACGCTTTCCACTTTTGCAAGAATTACTCGATGAAATTGACCGGTGACCGTATAATTTTTCAATCAAAATAGAAAAACAGAGGATGATTGAAGTGGATTCGTGAATGCCGCAGAGCGACCGAGGTAAATTGATCGGTTAAAAAATATAAAAATTCCTGGGGGCAGATAATTCACGGTGCTCCTGTTACTCGTACAAATATTTCACGATAGGATTACCTAAAATTGCTTCGACTGAAGCGGGAAAATGGTTGCGGACTCGAACAGGTGTCACGTTGCGAATATAGCACAACGAGTAATTAAATGTAATTTTTGACGATGATGATACAACGACGTGGACATTGGAATTACGGTTGCGGACCACTGGCTAGATGTAAAAATTAACATACGTCATTAACATATCCAGATACCACAAACTGACTCGGATGGAACGCGGTCGAAAAATGGTTTCTCTTAAGTTGAACGACGGTTCAACAATTTTGATATGACATATTCAGGCGAAAATTAAATACCCGAAATATAATTCATTCTTCAAATTTCGTCGTCTGTAAGTGATCGCTATTGAACGAGGTATAAAAGTGAAAAATAGTGAGGAGATTTTGTAGAGGATTACGGACGCCAAATTTCCGACTCACCGTTAATTAATTCGAAGCTTCTGTACAGTAATTACCCGCGTTTTTAATATCCTGGAGGACAGAAATATTCCTGGAGCAGCTAATGCCTGCGAATTAATTTAATTAGTTAGTCGGAAATTGTAGTAGAGTCTTATCTAACGCGCAAGTTCAGATGCCAACGAGGTAATTATGTTTGTAAAAAGAACACACGAGAACTTCCGATCGAAAGTGACAAAAGAAAGCGATGGAAAATCGCGGGAGAGGCGTGCAAAGCGAGAGACGTCAAAGAGAATTAATGAGTGATAAAAGTCAACCGTGAAGATTTTAATCATTCAGCAACTGCACGTCTTTGAGCGTACTTGAATTATATTCCTCTCATTGATCCTTTAACGTTTCGCTTTCTAGCAACTGTCTCTTCACCAGAAAAAATTGCAATGAATCCTTTGGGGCAACTTATGAATATCGCAAACTTTTGTACGAGGAAGATATTTCTTTATTTATACTTGCAAAAAGTTCCCACGAGAATATCTGAAAAAAGTAAACGTAGAACTTTGCGTTTAATTCTGTTCTTTTGAAAGCTTGTTCGCATTTCGACGTATGTGCATTGCTTTTTTGTTTGCACGTGAAAATTTTACTGTGGGAAACTTGATAGTTTGAGCGACACGTTATGAAATCTGGTTTCAAAGTTAATGAGAAACTTCGATGAATCTTTGGAAAGGTGTGCGCAACTTTTCCAATTTACGACAGCTTCAGAGTTCGAAGCTGATCGGTACATTTACAGTGCAAATGACGGTATAGAAAAAAGTAACGCACTCGTCAGAAATATTCTTTTTCTAATTGGAGTTCCTTTTTTATTCACACATCATTTATATCAAACTAAAAATAACAAAAGATAGTCTGGTAATAAATATAAAACACGCTGTTTTCAACCACACCATTTTCATTTCAAGTTTGATCGTACCTCAAATAGATTTTCTATGATATGCGGTACATTCGAGAGATATCGCATGAAAGTTTCGATTTCATTAAACACGAAAATTATAGTATGAAGGGAATCGAAACGGAAACCGAATCATGCCTTATGCACGCATCAGAATATCATGAAACTTCTCGACCGAGATATCAGAGAATTTGTCAACCAAGCAAACGTTTCAAGCTTAGGAGTATCCCGAGGATGCATCGATGCGCGTTTGTGCGAAATTTCCATTTCCATATCAATTTCAAATCCCAACGTATTTATCTGTCATACCTGTCAACGTTTTTCTTTTCCAGTCGATGAAAATACACGGTATAAAGATGCGTCGACTTGTGTCTCAGACATGTGACGTCTAATTTCCAGAGACCGTTGAAATAACTGTGTATGTATATATGTATATATCGAGATAAACTAAATGACTAACTTAGGGACGTTAATCTAAATTTCTATCAGCTTAAGGCATCGACTTGTAGATACGCCATCCAGGGAAATTCACGAAACACAGTTTATGGCACGTTGATACGTCTTGTCAATCTGTTTCTCTGGTAAATTAATCCGATAGAGACGATGGAATTTACAGTAGTTGCTCTCGATTCTGGGTCAATCGAGACACTGTAAATCCCTGTACGAAGTATCGAAACAGCCGTCATTTTCTATTTGATGCCTCAAAGTTTCACTGCCAACATGATACTACTTCACAATTTCTTACATTCCAAAAACGATAAAGAATTTTCTATTCGAAGGACTAAAGATGTTAAGACACCTAGTCTAGCATTATAAACCGCAGTATAAAACCATAATTCACTTCAACTTTGAACTTTGCTTTTGTCTGCAGTTTGCTCCTCCATTGTACCAAGAAGCCATTCGAATCGATGCACGGAGCTCAGATTCGTGGGTTTCTATTTCACTTCTTGTTCTTATTAGACCGAAAAGCTCACGAGAAGCTTAAAGATCACCTTACGTACCGATTCGCTTCAGCATACCTTCCTAAGGATTTGACTAGAAGGTCAACGACATGCGAGACTTACCCTGAGGTTTTAGACATCTAACCTGTCTCGCTAAATTGACGAAATATGAACTTCGTCTGACAAATCGATTCTGTATACCTATCATGTTTCCATATAGGGTATCAACGACTTCTCCCAAGAGGAATTTATTGTTAGACTCCATCTTCCTTGTATAAAAATCACTGAAATGGAAACTCAGGCATTGCTCTCTTTGACGGCTCGTTTCCTGTATCATACTTCTTTACAGATATCGTGCATCTGTCCTAACGGTCGTTGACACACACGATTTATTGCTGGACTGGATGTCCATTATGCAAAACCACTGAAATAGGGACTGGGACATGGCACTCATTGACCGCTCATTTTCTGCAACGCGCTTCCTTGGAATATGTGGAGTCGGCGATATGTTCATAGATGAATTTGGGAGTTGGGAGTGAGAAATTGAAGAGGAGGAAATTTGAAGGGTGGGAAATTGGGGAATAGGGGATTAGGGAGTAGGGAAATTGGGGAGTGAGGAATTGGGGAATAGGGAATTAGAGAGTAGGGAATTTGAAGAGTGGGGAATTGGAGAATGGGGAATTTGGAGAGTAGGGAATTTGGAGAGTGGGGGATTTGGAGAGTGGGGAACTTGGAGAATGAGGAATTTGAAGAGTGGGGGATTTGAAGAGTGGGGAATTTGGAGAATGGGGAATTTGGAGAGTGGAGAATTTGAAGAGTGGGGAATTAGAGAGTAGGAAATTTGGAGAGTGGGAAATTGGGGAATAGGGAATTGGAAAATAGGGAATTTGGAGAATGGGGAATTTGGAGAGTGGGGAATTTGGAAAATGGGGAATTCGGAGAGTGGGGAATTAGAGAGTAGGAAATTTGAAGAGTGGAAAATTGGGGAATAGGGAATTGGAAAATAGGGAATTTGGAGAGTGGGGAATTTGGAGAGTGGGGAATTTGGAAAATGGGGAATTCGGAGAGTGGGGAATTAAAGAGTAGGAAATTTGAAGAGTGGAAAATTGGGGAATAGGGAATTGGAAAGTAGGGAATTTGGAGAGTGGGGAATTTGGAAAATGGGGAATTCGGAGAGTGGGGAATTA